CTCTCTCTCTCTCTCTCTCTAGTCCCAGGGATTAAGCCCAGGACTTTTTAATTTAATTTTATTTTTTTGAGATTGAATCTTGCTAAATTGGTAAATTGCTTATGTTGAGTTCAAACCTGTGATCCTCCTGCCTTGTCCTCCCAGAATACTAGGATTACAGAAGTGCAACATGATTCCCAGATAATTACTTAGCATTTGTTAGGAAGAAAACACTCAAAATAATTTTTTCTAGTTTTTTGAAATGTACAGTATGTTTTTGTTGTCAGTAGTAATACTATTATGTAGTGGCATACCGAAACTTACTCTATCCAGCTACAGTTACTTAATACCTATTAGCCAATCTTTCTCCATCTTTCCTTCCCCTTTCCTCTCAGTACCCCCTAATAACTGCCATTCTACTTCTAACTTCTACATGACTATCTTTTGTCGGTTCTATGTACGAGTGAAATCATGCAGTGCTTATCTTTCTATGCGTAGGTGAGTTCACCTAACATAATGATCTCCAGTTACATCTGCCTTTTGTTAGTTTGTTTTGATTTGGTACTGGGAATTGAACTCACGACCTCATGCTTGGCGAGAAGGGACTGTGCCGCTGAGCTCTATCTCAGTTCCACATCTCCCTCTGACATGTGATCCTATCTCATTCTTTTTATGGATGAATGGCATGCCATTGTATATATGTACTACATGTTAAAAAAACAATTCTTTAGTTAATGCATACTTAAAATAGTTGTTTTAAGCTCTTCATTTGAAAGTGCTCTTATGCTGTTTACTACTGTATCAGTTTGTGGCACACTACTTTGACTGTTAGGGAAGGTCATAATTTTCTGAACGTGTTTGAGGCGTATTGGTATATGACATTGTTCGGACACTGAAAAATTAGATGTTTATGCCAGTCTTTGTAATCTGGTTTTGTTGGTGCCTTCTTTCCAGAAATTCTAAGCAGTTTGCTGATTTTCTGAGTATATAGTAACAGTGGCACTCTTGGTGTAGGTTTGCAGTGAGTCTGCGGTGATGTGTTGTCACTGTTTCAGCCCTGGAGGCTGATCCAAGCTGACCTTTGTCCTAAATCCACAGTTGGTATTTTTTTCCACATGAATAGGAGAAAACCTGAAAAACAGTAGTCCGTCCTTTTAAGCTCTCTGAAGCCAGGGTAGGCCCTGGCACCTTATCTGCAGTCATGGTTCTATCATAAGGCACTGCACCATTCTGTATGTCTGGTTCTGAGTACAATAAATGTAGATGGATCAACTTCAGATTCCTATGAGAACTTGTAGCCACTAATGCTGCAAAGCTGTTACACTGAGTCCACAGCCTGCCATGACTAGTACACGACTGGGTAGGATCAAGGCTCACACTATTCTAGGGACTTGGAACTTGTGGCCCAACAATGCTCAACCAATCACAAGTGATCCTTGCTGAAACAGAAGTCCCATTGATTGTAACCCTGTATCTTCCCCAACTCTAGATATATTTCAGAAGTTTCATCCATGGGAACATCCCTGGGAAATTGTAAGGATTTTCCCAATGGTGGGTGTTATCAGCCTGCCACTGTATTTCATGGAAAAGTCCTATGCTCACTATCGTGGCCTACTGCCACTGAACGGAGTCGTGTTCCATACCGTACTGCCTGAGGTTGGGGTAGCATTGGTGAAGGCACTCCCTTGTCCACCTATACTGATGCTAAGGGAGTCATACCAAAGTCTTAGAGATTCAAGGACTTGTACAGTCTGAGGGATGCGTCCAGGACGACATTTATAGTTGGCAGTGTTGCAGGCCAGAACTCTAGTCTGCCCCACTGTTATATGGTCTTTATCAGATGTTTGGGCAAATCTAGAGCCTCCATCTGTGAACTTTAGTTGGGGTATACCAGCCTTTGATTTTTGCCTCATGTTGAGTCTCATTGTGGTGGTCCTGGCACTGAGAATAAGCTTTTGTGCAAAACTTTTCCCCTGCCCCAAGTGGGTAAAGTCTTGTGATAAATTTTTGCCTGCCCCAAGTGAGAAAAATCTTGATCTCAGCTCTGATTGGGAACAGTAGATGAATTCAGAGGCTCAGTCTGAGGTATTGCCGTAGGGTTAGAAGTCTTGGGAGTGACAGGTTCTGTCTGGGTTTAACTGTGGTGGGCCTGGTACTGGGCTTTAAGTCTGAGGGTTGAACTTAATTCCCTTTCCCTTTTCCAAAAGGGATGCATCTCTCATGCTATGCTGCTTGGATCTAGGGAAACAATGACTTGGATAACTCTTTCCTTCTTGCCTTTTTCTTTGTATTTGCCTCTATTTTTTTTTTCTTTCTGTTATTGGCAGTTGAGCTCATGGAATTTCAGGTGAGATACATCTTCAGTGATTTATCATTTTTTATTTTGAGACAAAGTCTCATTAAGTCACTATGTTTCCCAGGCTGGTGTGGAACCTGTGACTCTCTAAGGCCTCCCAGAGTGCTAGAATTATAGGCAGGCACCACTGTGCTTGGGTTCCCTTTTGTTTTTTTCAAGGATTCTTTTTATTATACTAAAACCAGCCACTATGGTTTCTCTTCTGGCTTCCTTAGCTCTTTTGAAGGTAGCTTAATGCATTAAATAAGTGTTCAAATTGGTGTTTTTGCAGGGACACGAGTCCAAGGATCTAAAGGTCCTCTGCTCCACTTTTCCCAGTCTCTTATAAGGGCACTAATTTTACTCATAAAGGCTTCACCCACATGACCTAGTCACCTCCCAAAAGCCCTACCCCTTAAATACTATCAATTTGAAAACTAGGTTTCAGGGGCTGGGGATTTAGCTCAGCGGCATAAGTGCCTGCCTTGCAAGCAGGCAGTCATGATTTGATCCCCGGTACCGATAAAAAGGAACAAGACAAAAAAAAAGAAGAAAACTAGGTTTCAACATGATTTTTGGGAGAACACATACCTTCTGACAACAGCACAGGAAAGCAGTCAGAGGCATGTTTAAAAAAGGGCCATGGAAGCCTGGGGATTTAACTTAGTGGCATAAGCACCTACCCAGCAAGTGTGAGATCCTAAGTTTAATCCCTTGTACAAAAAAAGTGGGGGTGGGGGGAAAAGGCAATAGATATAGGGACCCCTGGACTGGGATTTTGCAATAAGGGAAAGATTCTGATCTCAACTCTGATGCCATATAAGAAGGGCAAATAGGAATTTATAGCCAAGCTATATAGCTGAGGAAAAAATTTTTAAAATAAAAATAAATTATTTGATTGGTTAAAGTTTAAGCGATTGTCTTATTTGGACTATCTGGATGAGAAGCTAAAGACAATGAAACTAATGGCCACCTGTGATTGACTGAATTTAAGTTTTACTTTCTTTATGTAAGAACCCAGGACATTAGAGCTGACTCAGTAGAATCAGTGATCATGTTAAATAAGGTGGTGCCTAGTTGAAAGAAGAGGTTAGTAAATGAGATGTATTACTATTCTGTACTTTTGAATCATGAAAAGTTTACAAGACTAGAGACCACTGCTTTAATTTTACTCAAATGATTTTAAGCAAATTATGTAATCTCTTTGGAATTTGAGTAATAGTGTCTGCCCTGCTAATTTCAACTGTTAAATCTGTCACAATTCTTAACTGCAAGCAATAGAAACCATCTAAGGATGATTTAAAAACAGAAATGAAATTTATTAAAGGTCATCAAGTCACTCACAGGCTCTCCAGGAGGCTGAAGAAATAGGCTAGAGTTTTCCTAATAAATTCTCTGAGCCCAAGCACTACAGCTTGCACAACAACGTCCCATCTTGGTGGCTGCTGATAGACCTTTGTAGTTTTAGAAACTGGATGTAGTTATTGAGGCTGTCACTGATCCTCGAATAGACTCCGTGAAGATCTGCTTCTGAGCTCTCATTTGCCTTTGATTTATGTGCATCAGGCTAGGCGGGTGTGTCTAATGAACAGTATGCTCATGCCTCAGAAATAAAGAGTAGGAAAGCCAGAATCAGCCAGTTTTATTTACTCTGGGGATGGAGGAGTAAGGGAGGAACCCTGTTAAAACTGGGGAGCTCCAGAGCGACCAAAGGACAACAAATGACTACTGCAAAGGGGTCCGGCTCAAATGAGATAATTACATGAAAATGTTTTATAAACGTTAGGGAAGAATGGAGCCACATGACATTACTGCGTTTTGGTTTGCAGTGATTTTAAACTTGAAGGTGGACATAGATGAGAATAAATCTGTATGTGAATAATATATAAATTGGAAATGATGGGTAAGATAATATTAAAATATCAGTTTGTATGGGATTACATTTGCTCTCTGGTATGAAGACTGGAAAAAACAATGTAAATGTTATTTTATTAGCCGGATGAGGTGAAATGGTTTCTAAATTATTTTTCTGCAAAGCAGTGACTTCAGGTAGTTTCTAAATTTTTAAAAAAATAATCCTTCTAAGACCACTTTTCATGTAATTCATAGTCTTCCACATTCTAGTGAAGAAGCTTCAAAATACCACATTTCCAATCAAAATAGATGGTATTCGTACCTCATTTATAAAGTCTGCATTATGCAGTAACAGCAGGGAAAACACAAACTAAGAAAAAATTGTATAATGTACTGCCTTCTACAGAACAACTTTCAAATAGTTTTATATAACTCGTTGCGCGGTAGCAGACAAGCAGTTATTTAGCAATGTAACATCAGTTCGGGTAAGTCTCAGAGGTTTCTTTTTTCAGAAAACCAAGGCAGCGGAGCTGGGCTTGCGGCTGAAACCCGTAAAATTAGCACTCGGGAGAGGGGGCCGGGAGAATAGTGAGTTCCAAACCAGCCTGGGCCAAACCGGAGGAACGTGTCTCACAAAAGCAAAAGGAAAGACAGCCAAGGCGTTCAAACACAATGGTCTTTTCTGTTTTCTAGTCAACTTGCTGTTTTCCACTTCTTCCGAAAAATAATTGGGAAAACTAAAAAAAAAAAAAAAACCCCAAAACAAAAAAGCTCTACAGGAGTCGTTTTCTAACATCGCGATAGGACTTTGATCTCGCTCACTGTGTAGCTACCGGGATCAGAGGCGGAGGACTGGCCAATCAGAAGGGGGGATCTTTTAAAGCTCCGCCCACGTTGCCGGGATACGAGGCGGCGAGCAGACGCGCGGCGTTAGGCCTGAGGGCCCTGAGAAGCCGAGCGGAGGTGAGCTCTGGGTGTGCGAGTGGGTAAACGCGTGCCTGTGGGCTCCTCAGCTCTGGCGGCCCCTGAAAGGGGTGGAACCGCTCCAGAGCCCTGCGGCTCCCCTTCTTCTGCACTGACGAGGGTGAGAGGTCGTAGGTCGCATCGCCCTCCCTCCGTTGCCGGTTACCTCACGTAGACGGCCTTGATCCCTCCAGACAAAACACATTCGAATTATTCTGCCCAAAGCTGTTAGCTGTTAGCTCTTCATCCGGCCAGGGAAGTTTTCACTTCTCTGGTTAGAAATACACGGTGGTCTCCTTCGTCCATCTCCTGAGGAGATCGCCTTGCCGAGACCACGGGAAAAGGTCCAAAGCCTCAGAGAAGTCAGCGTGTGCTGACGGATTTTATCAGATCCCTCAGGTAGATAGATGTCTGTTGGTCACAGAGGAAACAACTTAGCGCCTGGCCACTAAACATATGCGAGAGTGGTTCGCTTTGGGAGGAAAATGCAAGGAATGACAGGAGCCAGATGTGTGTGTTTCGTCATGTGTGTAACTCACAGTCCTACAACGTAGGGCTCCTGGTCACACATCACACATCCAGAGAGCTTAAGTGATGTGTTAGAATTACACAGCTAGTGACTGTCAGAGGTAGAGTTTGTGTCCCTAATCTTTCTGGAACCAAAGGATGGGTCTGTGTTAATAACCCCCACTTCCCGGCAGTTGTGTGAATGTTTGGCGTTTGGTTGAACTGCTCCAGAGTTCACTAATGCCTCTTCTCTACTTATTTCTTAGTCCCTGCTGGGACTGATGGTATACTAAGTCTTTTCCATTACAGTACAGCAGTGGCAAAGCAAGTCAGGTGCCAGTATGTGGTACGTTTTCTCGAAGTTAGTTGAAAAACATTGTGGTGACTAATTCTGTTGGAAACAAGGATTTTCTGGACTAGCTTTTAGAAGAAGGTACAAGTAGGTAGTTACGGAGCAATCATGGAAGGATTCCTAGAGTCTTAGATAATAGGTTGATATTCCTGTTAGGAATTGGGAGAAGTGAGGAGGCTCATGTAATCTGCTTGAGTCAGTGAACCGGCCACTGCTGGAGGAATAGAAAGGAAAACGTTACATGTTAAACATTAAGGAATAAAATCTGTAGGACAGGTGGTTAGGCATGGGGAGTGAGAGGGTAGAGAAATCAAGGATGAAGTTTCTTGCTTGGGTGAGCCGAGATGGTACCAAGAAGAAAGAGCACATTTTGGGGGTGATACTGAGTTTAGATTTACATGTGACTACTTCGATATATTTAGACATTGTCTTGAGATGTTAGGTAATTATATTTGGATATGAGCACATTTAGGTATTGAGTGTGTTAGGGCTGGAGATACAGAGTTGTGAACTTGCAAATTATTAAAACCCTGAGTATGGGAATGGCAGTCCAAGGAGAGCTTAGAGAGAAAAAAGAAAAATAGGCTATGGATGGTAAGTGGGGAATGCTGCTATTTGAGGGCACATATAAGATCAAAGAGACTGGAAAGGGAGAATCTAAAGAGGCAAGTGTTAGGGAGATTTCATTAAATAGCCACCAGTAACTGATGACATCTGCATCTCCGGTGACATTAGCAGAGGTTGTTAGAATAGAAATCTGGAAATCTAAAAGCTCATGAAAATAGGCTACTTTTAAAGGTTTGGGTGGCTCGGTGTCTAGCCCCAAACTGTTGGCCACATAAAAATATTTGAGATTGGTTTAGAGATGGTTGTTAGAAGTGGTCACAGGACCAAGAAATTTATTTGTGTTGTTAAATAAAAAGTTGAGTGTGATAACAGGCTGAAAAGAGAAACTTTAAATGTATCAGCAGGAGTGGAGATAATGCCCCAGAGGAGATGGAGAAGAGTGTCTCAAAAGTAACCGATCAAGAGGGAAAATTAGAATAGGGACTGATCTTGAATGAGAGACAATGACTTTTGAGACTGAAGGATGAGATGAATGTAAATTTTGTGCTCCAAAGATAATGGAATATGTGTCCTAATTTTCTCAGATTAAGAAATAATTTATTCAGAGTGACAGGAACATAGGTTAGATAGAAATAATGATTAAGAATCAAACATCAAGGAAACATACTTAGATGGGCTTGCATTTTGGTAAGATAATAGATGAGGAAGAAATGTAATAGTCCTATAGTTCTAAATGGAACATTAATGTGAGTTTTGAACAAAATTAAAGTCTGGTTTGCCTTGTGATGGGACCTGGAATGGCTATTTGCAAGAAAAATCATTATTAATTAAATATTTGAAGGAAGGGCCAACTAGTGTTTTGCTGTAAAAGACATTTAAGGAGAATTGAACTATTTATTGTTTCCAGAGGTTTTAAGTGAACCGACGACAATGGCCAGCAATCATAAATCTTCATCCCGCCCTGTTTCACGAGGTGGAATTGGGTTGACAGGAAGACCTCTTTCTGGAATAAGACCTCCATCAGGAAATATTCGAGTGGCAACGGGAGTAAGTGTAAACCAAGTTTATCACATTTTTCTGCATATCTTCTTGTAGAAGTTAGGGATCTTGTATATAATAAAAGAATCTATTTAGTTGTTCCTTTATTCTGTAAGGACATGATTTAAACTTTTTGTTGAAACATCTAAAACTGTAGATGTGGGAGAATTGTAATACACTACGGAAGGATGATACCTACTATTGCTGATTCACAAATTTGTTTTAAAGCCATAATAGATTAAGTGGTGTGTTGAGGTCACAATAAAATTTAATGGACTAGACTAGAAATACAGTCAAGTATATAATTATTAGGTTAATTTAGTTAACTACTAAAGCAACAGTTTAATAAATAAAAGCAGACTATTCATAGGGATGTTCCAAAAACTAGTAAGTCATTTATTTAAAAAACATTTTGATTCCCTTCGTATCTTTTTCATTATGTATAATAACAAATGTATACTAGTAAAAATTTAAAAATTAAAAAAACCTTTGATGTTTTAAAAATGTGACCATAACTATATTACGGGGAAATATGATCAAGATTACATATAAACTTGATGTGAATTAAGGCTTTATGATAATGACAGAAACATCAAGTAGGTTTATATATTTGAATTTATAAAAAATTGAAAATACTATTAAAGAATTAAAAAAGCAATAAACTGATAGAAAGGCATAACATACATATCATACCTATGGTTTAAGATCTTATAAAACTGCCCCAAAATGCATCAAAAACAGTTCAAAAAGGCAAAAATAATAGCCTAGTGTAAAAGTATAAAGTGAGTATATTCAGATTACTACAACCTGGAAACAAACTCTAAAATGTTAAAGAATTTTTTAATACAATATAGTACCATCAGTCAGTAAATCATTAAGAGAGAAACATTTAAAAAAGTTAAGTAAAGTTTATAAACTGCTAATTCTAAGCACAATAGCTTATAAAGAGAATTAATGCATTTCATTATTCTAATAGTGTAAATTTGGAAACAATCTAAATGACCTCATAATATGAATCTTAAATAAATTAAATGTTTGTCACTATTGTAGGCTATTACATAGTCATTAATTTCCAGCTGGAGAAAAAAAAGAACCAAAAAGTCAGTCTGCCTTTCTAGTGAGCCTGTGGTGGACGTGGGCTGGGAAAAGAACCAAGAAGTCAGCCTGCTTGTCCCAAAAGCCAGTGTCAGCTGTGGGCTGGGCAAAGAACCAAGAAGTCAGCCTGCCCTCCCATGAGCCAGCCAGCATGTGGGCTGGGAGACAAGGAGAGAGCTCCTCTGCCTCTATAGGCAACTGGCTGATTTAGTGGAACACAGGCTGGGATAATAGCAACTGAGATACAAAAACAACTTGTATCAATTGATGACTTTTTAGGTCTAGGGCTGGTAGTATAAGCATCTGTTTAGAGGATAACAATATGTGATATAGGGAATTGAGTTCTGTCTTGTTTTTGAAGTTCAGTATTGTTCTCATTGTTTTGTTTTGTTATTTCATTGTTTCTATTCCATTCAAAAATCTAAAAAATTATGTATATTTAAAAAAATATAGTGTGTGCCTGTAATCCTAGCACTAGGAAGACTGAGGCAGAGGGATTGTTTTGTGATGGATTATGTCCAATTTATTTCTCAAATGCAAAATTTCCTTGTAAACAGTTTTACATATATCCTTATAGTGGAGTGGTATGGTTGATACATTGTGTGAACTTGAGAAGTTTAGAAGTTTTAAGAGGCTCAGCAGGGAGTCAGGGTTCTTGCTTTGTAAACATCCTCATCCTGTGCAAGAGGACGGCACAGAGATTTTTGTGAGTGCTATATCTGCCCTAGCTGGGTGGTGGGGGTGGGGTGGGGTGGGGTTGGCCTGCTACAATATAAGGGAGGAAAAGAGGCTTGTTCTTCCCCCTTTTGTTTGGTTGCTTTTGCTGACTGCTGCTTTGAAGTGTTGCCCCTGTGCCATGTTAAATCTCTGGCATGTTCTGTCAACCTTCTAGTTCTCAGAGCTCTGACCAAAATCTCCCATACAGAACAACCTAAGGCATTCCAGCTCTACTTTAGGCAACATACCTGGACCTTTCCAGACTCTTTCCACAAGCCATTCCCAAAGGCTCTTAAGCCAAATGGCCAGGTATAGTCACAGCAACGATCTCACTCCTAGTACCAAATTCTGTCTTAGTTACATTTCTCTCGTTGCTGGAACAAAATGCTCAATACCCAAAATGAAGGAAGGAAAGGTTGATTCAGCTCACTGTGGAGGTTTCAGTCCATAATCAGCTGGTTCCAAGACAGGGTAGCTTGGCACAGGGGCATAAGCGTCTGCCTTGCAAGTACAAGGTCACGAGTTTGAGCCCTGGTACAAAAAAAAAAATTCCCACACCAATAGAAGGTTAATAGAAATCCTGCTGGTAAAGACTAGGTTTAGGAGGTTTTTACTGGGTAGGACTGCATTGGTTGTTGGAGTCCAGATAATGTGTGTTATAGCTTGGCAGAAAGTTTGTCTGCATTCTGCTTGTATCCAGAGACTTTGCCTGAGACTAAGATTAAAGACAGTGGACTAATTAATCCGGCAGAAAAAATTTCAAGGTAGTAAAATGTTGAGGCTATGGCATGGCTACTGTTGGGGGCTTTTAGCCAGATTTATGTTGCAGGATGATTTAAAACATTGTGAGTTTGGCCAGACAGAAAGCTTCAATAAAGCTGTGGCCTGTGAAGTTAGAGCTGAGGAAATCTTTTTTTTTTTTTGTCTTTTTTTCCTTTTTATCGGTACCAGGGATTGAACTCACAACTGCCTGCTTGAAAGGCAGGCGCTTATGCTGCTGAGCTAAATCCCCAGCCCCTGAGCTGAGGAAATCTTGTTGAAAAAGAACAGGAGAATAAAAAAATGACCTGAAGACATCACAAAAAGCAGCAAGTCTCAAACTTGTGCAACCTCAGAATTGCAAAAGTGAAAGACTGCTTCGAGGCAAAAGTGGTAGAGCACCATGTTCCAGAATGGCAGCAGCATAAAAAATTTGTTCCTTAGAATTGGATTCAGCATGCCCAGTGATCAAGGTATTCAGCTCCTACAGCCAAGAGAAGGAAGAGCTTAGCTACTACTCCAACTGACAGCAAGCCTTGGCATCACGCATGTGGTGATGATTTAGGTGTATACAGGATACACGAATTCTGAGTTTAAAAAGGCTTCCTATTTCAGAAGACCTGGGAGGTCAGGCAGTGTGCCCCTGAGAGTGCCATGTGTAAAGCTGTGAGTGTGAAACCAAAGGTGCAGTGGAGACCCCAGAAGTTTGGAAAAGCCACGAATGTGAATCATCTAAAGAAAGTTGGAAAGAGGCAGCAAATCCAACCCAAGAGAGAATCTGTGTGAGCTGCAGCCACCCGGGGTGCCACAGGGGTAGAGTCACACAAGTTCACTGGAGTGCCCCGTTTGCCATGGATTGCTTTAGATGCTGGATGTGCAACTACAGGACTTAATGTTTGCCTTGCTGGTTTTTGCAATTGCTTTGGCCCCAATCCTTTGTATTCTCCTGTTTGTAATTCTTTGGATGGAAATGTTCATCTTGTACCATTTAATGTTGGAAATGATTAACTTTGTTTTCATTTCTACAGTGGCTTGCTGCTAGGAGTTTGTCTTATGTCTTGGAGGAGATTTGGGACTTGAACTTTTCAGCAATGCTGAAACTGCTAGGATTTTGGCAACTTTTAGAGATGGACTAAATGCTCTTTACATAAAGGAATGTGCATGAGTGGGGGGGGCAAAGGAAGAATGTTATGATTCTAATGTAATATAATGTTGATAAGACTTAATGCTGGTTCCTAAGGATTGTTAAACCTGTGTTATGTTCAAGTTGTGAAGTGGTAAGAATAAGCATGTCCTTGTTCTTGGAGGCTAGTTTAAAGAGATATGTCTGGTTGCCAAGTTGACAAGGGGTGGATTGTTGTGGTTGATACATTATGTTAACTCTGCATGTTTAAGAGATTCAGCAGGAAGTCAGGGTTCTTAGTTTGTAAACATCCTCATCCTGTGCAAGAGGAAGGCACAGAGATTTTGTTAGTGCTACTTTGCCCTGGAGAGCTGGGGTGGTGGTGGTGATGGTGATGGCCTACATACAGTATAAGGGAGGAAAAGAGGCTTCCTCTTTTCCCCTTTGGCTCTGGCTGCTTTTGCCGATTGCTGCCTTGAATTATGCCACTCTGACTTGGAGCCAGATGATTATGAACTGAAACCTCCACAAACAGTGAGCTAAATAAACCTTCTTTCCTTTATTTTGGCTATTGGGTATTTTGTCCCAGGAGTGAGAGAAAAGTTACCAAGACATAGAATATGGTGGTTTATCCCTATAATCCCTGTACTCTGGGAAGCTGAAGCAGGAGGATAACAAATTTGAGCTCAGCCTAGGCAACTTAGACCATATTTCAAAATCAAATAAAAAAAGATAATATATATTCATTATAACAATGATAAAATTGTTATAATGCACCCAGTTGTATAAAGAAAATAATAAAAATCTACAATGTACAGAAATAACCATTGTTACTTTTTTTTATGATTGTTGAGATTTTTATAAAAATATAATTATGAATGCTGTACTGTTCAGTAAACTACTTTTTTTTTTTTTTTTTTTTTCTTAATCAGTTCCGGACATTAAACTCATGACCACCTGCTTGCAAGGCAGGTACTTATGCCGCTGAGCTAAATCCCCGCCCATACCCTACTTTATTATATACTACAAATAGTTTAATCATTTCTTTTATGGTCATTTAGTTCCTTCTCGGTGCTGAAATATTAGTCTACATATAGATTTTAAGTTTTAATAAAATATAGCCATAGAATTTTAAATATTGAAATTATTTATTATAACATTGAATAGTATGTTTTAGATATAAAAAATATAAGGACTACTTTATAAATTGTAGAATTTTAATTTTACAATTCTCTTTATAGTAAAATAGTATAAGGTATACTTGTTTTCCTTCTGTTTGATGAAAGTGAAATCTTATTATCATTTAGATGCCACCTGGAACAGCAAGACCAGGTTCTCGTGGTGGTCCCTTAGGGACTGGGGGAGTGCTGTCATCTCAGATCAAAGTTGCTGATCGTCCTGTTACACAGCAAGGTTTGAGTGGAATGAAAACTGGGATGAAAGGTATCTGTAAAGATGAGTGTATTTTGTTTCAAAAATATTACAGTACTGTATTACTAGAGGAAAATTACAATTTTCATTGATTTACAAAATTGTTACAATAACAGGGTGAGTGTGAAAATGCATTGTGAACTAGAAAGTCATTTTTCTGAATGTGGACTGTTTTAATAATTGAAATTTGAAATATTTTGAAGAGAAATACAGAATTGAAAATTAGACTTCTTATATCACATAGAAATATTTTGAAATATTTTTGATAGTTTCCTTATCAAAATGACTGTTAAAATACCTTTATTAATGAACAGAGTCAAAAATAATACTTTTGTGAAATTAATACTCATAGCTAACGTATAGAAATGAGACTAACATGTAGATGCATAGTGAGTCTCACGTTAGGCCTCTATTTAGAAAGGTATAATAGGGGCTGGGGATTTAGCTCAGCGGCATAAGCACCTGCCTTGCAAGCAGGCAGTCGTGAATTCGATCCCTGGTACTGATAAAAACGAAAAAGCCAAAAAAAAAAAAAGGTATAATAATCCACAATATGATTCATAAATTTGATCTGTGATATATATAAACCAAAATTTGGTAAACATCCTAATAAAGAATTTTTGTTTTATGTGTGACAAATGATTTATCAATGCTGACAATATTCTGTTGGTAAAAAATGTACTTTAAGATACCATACTACCGTTGGCCTTTTGTTTCCATAGTTTCTATATTTGCAGATTCAATAATTGCAGATCAAAAATAGAAAAAAGAAAATAAAAGAAGAAGAACCTGGCATCTATGCTGGACATATACAGACTTTTTTTCATATTCTCTTAAGTAGTAGAGTAAAACAGTTGTTTATAGCATCTACATTGTTTTAGATTGATAGACTAGAAATGATTTAAAACAGGTGACAGTGTGCATGTATTATATATAAGCACTATGCTATTTTACATAAGGGACCTAAATATCCTAGGGTTTTGACATCCATATGAGAGTCTAGGAAGCTGTCTCCTGTAGACTCTGAGAGATGATTGCATTTTTTATAATGTAGTAAGTCATGCTTTGCAGGACACTTAAATTTTCCCTTTCCCTTTCCCTTTCCCTTTCCCTTTCCCTTTCCCTTTCCCTTTCCCTTTCCCTTTCCCTTTCCCTTTCCCTTTCCCTTTCCCTTTTGTAGTGGTGGGAATTGAATCCAGAGCCTTCCTCATCTCTTTTTTTATTTTGTATTTTGAGACACTAAGTCACTAAGTCACTAATCATGTAATATGGGGTTGAATCTGAGATCCTTCCTAGAATGCTAAGATTATAGGTATTTGCCACCATACCTGGCTTAAATTTTCTTATCATGCCATTTAGCTTACTATTTACTAAAAACCAGTTGATTCTTTCAGACATGTTTATTTAATAATTATCAGTACCATTAAAAAATGAATCAAAATTCTGTGATCATTTAGCTAGTCTTAATATATTCACAGACATGTTTATGTTGAATATTACTTACTTAAAAATGATAGATATAAGCGTGCTAGAATCCGGTGGAGGATTTGTTACATGTTTATTACTGTATAGTTTATCCTTCAAAACAGAACCAATACCATTTAAGATTGTTAGTCTCTACCAACATCCTTCAAAGGCTTGCAGCTTGTTACATACACACTCCGTCTGCTGTGAACTTTGCTCTCACGGCTCTGTTGTCCCGTTCCTGTGATAGTGAGTCATTCACTATCTCTTCTCAGCATATGCCCCATGGACAGTATACTTTGGCCTCACCTTTCACACTTGCAGGACATTTCATCCCTTGCAAGGTTTGGGACATTTAACCTAGGAAGACTTTCATAATCCTACTGAAATGTAAGATTATTTTTAAAAAAATTCTGAAGGCTGGGGCTGTGGTTCTGTGGTAGAGCTAAGCACTTGCCTTGCATGCACATGGCCTTCAGTTCTATCACACACACACACACACACACACACACACACACACACACACACGTCTCTGAGACGAAGTTGAAAACTTAGTTTCTAGTTCACATTGAGAAATATTTTCATTTTCCAATAAGATAGATAATAGGTATAGCCACTCAAATTCAAATTAATTAAAATTAAGTAAAATAAAAATTCATTTCCCTGGTAGCATCAGCCAGATTTCAAGTGCTCAGTAGTCCCATTTGAATACTTTACTGGATAATGCTAATATATTTTGTTGCGTAAAGTTTTTTGGGGCAACTTTTTTCTAGGCTTCTAGTGATTCAAGTCCAATTACTGTGATCTAGTTTTTGTTTGTTTGTTTTGGTGGTAGTTGGGATTGAATCTAGGGGCTAGAAGCTTCATCCTAAGCTATATACTTGGCCCTGTTTTCTTTTTCTTTCTTTTCTTTTTATTTTGAGACAGGATTTCACTGAGTCACTAAGTCACCTAGGCTGGACTTGTACTTGGGATCTTTATTCCTCAGCCAGCCTGGGGACTGTGATTACAGGTGTGTACTATCATACCCAGCTCCATCTTTGTGATCTTCATTGAAACCTCCCTTCTGTCATGATGCTAAGCTGTTAATTGTCTTTTCCATTTCAGTGATTGTCCTTAATGGTTCTGGCACATTCATGATGACTGACAGAATTGTCCATGTTTTTCTTGTTGTACTTTGGATTTGAATATGCCGTTTTGGTGACATTTTGAAACTGAACACTAACATTAAAAAACCTTTTTTTTTTTTTTAGGTCCCCAGAGGCAAATTTTAGATAAATCTTATTATCTTGGACTTCTTCGGTATGTTAAACAAACGTATCTTTCTATACATGATCATAAAATTTTAACTGTGGTACTTTTTACAATAACTACGTGTCTGTATTTTTTAATTAATTATGTTTATTGGTACAATTGAAATATAATGATCATGTTCATAATAGATATTTTGTACCTGTACCTGACTTATCACAATTCCACTTTTTGGTTTTTTTCCCTAAGAATTAGCTTGTATTCTAACATAATTTCTTACTGATTTGGCTAAACTGCTAAAGGTAGATATGATAATAAAATTAGGCTAGAGTTTTACACTTTATGTATTTGCATGTATGTTAGCTGTGTATTTTGCCTCAGTCTGTGCTACTATAACAAAATATGAGAGTAGTTAATTTATACATAACAGAAATTTATTTCTTACAATCATGGAGGTTGAGAAGTCTAGGATCAAAGTGCTGGCAGGTTTGATGTCAGGCGAAGGCTGTTCCTCATTCATGGTACCATAGGTGCTGTTACAGGATGAAAGTGCAAAAAATGGCTTGACCTAGTTTCCTTTGGCCTTTGTGTAGAGCACTGACCCCATGTATGGGAGTAGCACCTTCACGGCCTATGCATCACCTCAATGCTCCACTTCTTAACACTGTTGAAAGGCATTCAGTCCAATTCTGAATTTTGGAGGGAACACAGACATTCAAGCTGCGGCATATTTAGAGTTCTCTCTTTTCATCTAGTGGTAAAAATAATTTTCCATGCTTTTTGCTTTATTATTTTGAAATACATTATTCATAGTATTGAAATGTCACTAATTTTACCTAAGAAAGGTGTGTATACTTTTTATGATATCTTAATCAAGAGTTTTACATAAGTATATATTTGGTCAGTACATTCAAATGTGGCCTAATTTTAATTAATTCATATGCTTCGTTATATGTCTTTAATTATATAGGTAAATTACTCTGCTCAGGTGTGCAACTGTCCTACCTCTATTTTCTCATTTTACTTTATTTTCTTCTTGATTTGTCATCTGTGTCTTCTTTCTCTCTTCCATTTCATTCAACGCATCCTCATTTTCCTTTGTAGTCCTCTTGGTTTAGTTTCTCAACTATCTGGATTCTTTTAATCCTCAAACTACTAGGTGGCAATTTTAAAAAGTGTAGATTTTCCAATCTGTTCTCAAAGGTAAGATACTAAGAAAGATAGAAAGGCCGTCAGATGTGTAATATCTGATATTCAGTCACTTTTTAATCAAAAGAAGGAAAGAAAATAAAACAATTGCTAGTCATTACATTGCTTGGCTTCTCCAGGATTTATGCTTCTACCTCAAAGGGTATTTCTGTTTGTGTAATTGTTTGGCTTAGAGGAGTGCTCACTGCTCCCTGGGGAACATTTAGCATTTTCTGAACCGATTTTGGGTTGTCAGAAGTTATGGGAAAATGCTACTGGCATTCTTATCATGGATGCTGCTAAACACCTTACATGCACAAGATAGCCTTCCACCACAAAGTACTAATCACTGCCCTGAAATGTCAGTGATGCTGCTATTAGGAAATTGTAGCAGGAGCTGCGAAAATCACAGTTAGGCATCTATGTCTGTCTGTGGGTTATAACAGTTTAGCCAGGCATCCATGCTGATCTTCTCTCATCTTTCCTAGAGAATCTGTCATCAGTTTTTCATAAGTTGAGAACAGGCTGGGCTGTTCCTTAACCTTGATCAAATAAACCAGATATGTTTCCTTTTGTAAATGAAGTTCACAAACCCATGTGTATTTTTATTACATGTTTATGATAGGTTTAGTTTGAAAGAGTATTCTGAGTTAGAAGTATTGCTAATTTTCTTTTTTCTTTTAATTAGAAGTAAAATAAGTGAACTTACAACTGAAATTAATAAACTTCAAAAAGAAATAGAAATGCACAATCAAGAGAATTCAGTGTATTTGTCATATGAAAAACGGTAAGTTTGTCGTTAAAATATGCAAGGTTTTTAAATGTATTTGTATACTACTAAATAGTATTTCAGTATACATTGAATATTATATGGTAAGAATACTGAATTTGTAGTTACCTATGTTTAGAATGTTCATCTACTTATTTATGTATTTACAAATGTATTTATTTTATATTTATAGAGCAGAAACTTTAGCTGTTGAAATCAAAGAGTTTCAAGGACAACTAGCAGATTACAACATGGTAATGTCTCTTTTCTGAGAGAATTTGCTTAGAATAATTTTATTGCTTTTTACCACCTAAAGATACATTGTTTTAAATGCTAAGTAAGACATAAATACTTGCTTCTGTGAAAGATTGAGACTCTAAAAAGTACAGAGAATAAAGTGCCTGTTTCTTTTCTCCCACACATCTCTCCCCAGAAATAATTCTGCCTAACAGATCATTATGTATTCTTTTAATATTTAAAGAAAATACATTTACTAATGTCTTAGTTACTTTCCTTATCAGTGGGACACAGTATCTGACACCAACAAATTAAAAGAAGAAAGGCATATTTTGGTTCACAGTTTACAGAAGTTTCAGTCCATAATTGACTGGATCTAAAGCAGGACAGCATGACAGAGGGGCATGGAGGGGGAGAGCTACTTATGGAATGGTACACAGAAAGCAAGGGGATCAAGGAGGACACAGGGAGGGAGAGACACTTTCCCAGGCCACATCCACATCCACTAATTTAATAATGGCAATGTTTCATACAAAGGTGGATAGTGGCCCACCTCACAGCAGGAAGCCAGGTACAAGCCCCCATCAACCAATCACATTCCAAAAGCTCTGCTTGTGCATGTATGAGGGTTTTAGGGGACATCTAGCTACAAATTATGACAATTTACAAATACAAAAATACATACATGTCTTCTACTATAACTATTAAAATAATAATTTTAAAAATAGATAGAATTTATTGGATGTTAATAATGCTATTGCTTTTGTTTTTGTCTTTTGAGCCAGGATCTCACTATGTAGTTTAAGCTCACTATGTAGTTCAGGCTCACAATGTAGCCTAGGTTGGCCTCAAACTCACAGAAATCCTCCTGCCTCGGCCTCCCCAAGTGCTGGGATTACAGGTGTGCACCATCACATCTGGCAATACTGTTGATTTAAAAGCATTTTTACCTTTGTATGAAACATTGCCATTATTAAATTAAAAGTAACTTAATTATTTAGCACACAGATTACCTCCATGTGTATGTTGTATTCTGTGTGTGCATTCTGTCAAAACAGAGTATGTAACAGACATAGTACCACCAAGGCTGCTTGCCATGTGGACTCTTGAGAAGAAGCAGTGGCTTTGGCAGTAATGGTGACTGCCTCAGTCACTGCACTAATTGCACTGCTGGGAAACATTTTTAGTGTCTGAGAGTTTTCTCCTCAACTTCTTGGTTGCAATAGGCAGCAGTGGTGTCTGAATTTAATGAAAGTGACAAACTTTGTCTCTCTTTTTTCTAGTAAGAATGATTAGATGAATTATGAAATACCTACTTGATAGTTTTACATTATGCTTATCATAATGTAATAAATTTACCATAATAAAATTTTATTAATTATAGTAGAGTGTAATTGCTAAAGTTGTTGAATAACATGTAACAAACATTTTTTGGAACTTAGTATTTGGTGGTTCTGTTTTTTAGTAAATGATGTACTATTCTAAATGTGAGAAAAATAGTTTTATAAGGTATGAAATGACATTAGATGGAAAGGGTTTTTAGTTACAGTGAAATGTATTAGGTGCTGAAGATAAACATAATAAAACATGTAGAATATGTTGTTTATAGGTTTAATACTTGTAAGAAGAAAAGTCCTAAGTATCTAATATATAGTTAGCATTAAGTAAATATTAGGTCTTACTAGTACCTATTCATATCAGAAATGAAAAATGTGTGTATACTATTATACATTAATAAACTTTAGTTTTTAGTATCGGTTACACCTAAGTTTGCTTTTAACTCTTAAATAGTGACTTGTGGTTCAAAGTACGGCTACATTAGTTCCTAAATTTATTTTTCTGTTAAATGTAGACATGGTATTTAGTGTGCTAGTTAATGCATGTAACAGACTCTGAGCAGTCTGTTAGCTGTTGATAGTCATTGCCTTTTTGAAGTAGGCTTTTGAGCATGTTGTCTATGCCTTGCCATATTGATTTTTTTTTTTTAAAAGCAGTGGCAAAGTTTATCTGAAAAAGTGAAAGAGAGCTAGGAATACAGCTCAGTGGTACAAGCACCTGCCTGGCAAGCACGAGGTTGTAGGTTTGATGCCTGGTACAAAGGGAAAAAAAAGAAAGAAAAGAAAGTGAAAAGGAAAAGTGAACAAGAAATTGGCTTTGCATAGTGAGTTTGGGCTGAAAAAGGAAAAGACAAGATAAAAGGACACCCTGGAGAACGCCAAGTGGGCTATCCTGAAGAAAGCCACAATAGATGGTTTTTTTTTTTTTCTGTAGAAAATGTTTCACAAATAAGTAAGACATGCATGTGTAAAATTGTATTATCTCACTAGTGTGAGAAGCTGTATATAAAAAAATAGTTAAGATAGTTATACAGTGAGTTATATAGTGATTTCTCTGAGTTCACTGAAGAGAAAGGTTTGTACTGTATTGTTCAGACAATGGAATGCAGATATCTTGTGCTCTGGGTGAATAATGATTTAGGAATGACAATGCGCATTGTACCATTGTTGCCCTCCACTGCCGTGTTTTAATTTTTTCTTTTTTTCTATTTGAAATAAAATGAATTTGAAAAAAAAATTCCACAATGTAGATTTGTAAATCTGTTAACATACCTTTTCCCTGGAGAAAAACCTGAAAGAGTGACTGATTTAACTTTTCCAGACCTTTATAAATTACAGCCATTTTTTCAGAGGAGATAAAGCTACTCAGGATGAGATCTGTGGTGTTTTGTTCCTGGTCACTTTGCTTCCTTGGTTTTTTGGTGTGATACTGGGGATTGATCGTAGAGCTTTCACATTGAGCTACATTCCCAGTCCTTGGCAAAACTTTTTATTTTTCAGAGAGAGTCTCACCAAGTTTCTAAGTTTCCCAGGCTGGTCTTGAATTTCCAGTCTTCCTGTCTCAGGATTCCAGAATTCTGGGATTATAGGTGTGCGCTGACATACCTAGTGTTTACTGTCCCCCAGTGAAAGACACATTCATTATTGGAAGGTACCCTGTACTGTGTATGCTTACTTAGGTGACTCAGTATTTGTTTTTATCTTAAAGCGAAGACACTTAGAAATATTAATACTTAAATTACTTCTCATTATTCATGAGTTTGAATACTTGTACTATGAATTAATACAGAACCTTAACACTAATGGAATTTTTTTGTACTTTTGTTTGTAGTTGGTAGATAAACTTAATACCAATACTGAAATGGAAGAAGTAATGAATGATTACAACATGGTAAGAAAATTTACAAATCTAAACAATAGATGTTTATAAAATCATATCCTAGCTCGGGATATAGTTCAGTGCCATAAGCTGCCTGCTTGGCAAGTGCAAGATCCTGAGTTTGATTCTTGATTAAAAAAAAAAAAAAACATATCCTCCAAAATAAAGGATTGCTATCTAGAAAGTTTGACAAAACCTAATGGACCTTAGAGATGGATAAGTATTTGATCCTGAGTTCTCTTATCAGTTGGTCTTCTAAATTTTTTCTCCTGATTAGCGCTCCTAAGTGGATGCTGTATTGTCTAAAAAGGTCTCTAAATTGGTATCATTTGCAATGAACCTTAGAAAGTATCATCTACATATTTTCTCCTATATATACACTATATTAGATAGCAGTATTTCTGGTAAACTTTTGTACAAATGAAACTTGTACCTAATGGAGATAAATGGTACTAGTTCATAGTTTTTGTAACAAAGAGAGAAAAATGAACATATATGATATCAGACATAATAACTTTTGAAAATGAGAATTTGTGTTTCATGTTCTCAGATTATTTGGTACAAGCAATAAAATATGTTAATATCTAGCTTATTTTGATTATAGCATTTGGAGAAAACACAACTCTTTAATTACATAGTTTATATTTTATTTACATAATCAGAGACTGTGATATTTTATTTACATAATCAGAGAGTGAAAACAATTTACAAAATGACAACATTTGGAGTTTAAAGCCTTAATAATTTAGATTATTGTTAGAACACAGGAGAACTCACAAATTAAAAATTGTATTTCAATGCCAGAATGAAAACTAAAAAGATCTTATGTGTTTTGTTAGTTATTTAAAGTCAACTAAGAATACTCAGGTAAATCCTGAATGCTTTTTGATTAAAACTTGTGTAAGATCTAAATTCAACTGTATTGCCAGACAATTATTTATTGAACACTCAATAAATTTTGAAACACTATTTGTATAAATTAAGTTTATGTTGGATTGTTTGACGGACCACTAAAGAATGATGAATATTTTTAATAAGAGATTATGATGTTTTATTTAAAAAGATTTTTTAGTCTAGTAGTGGTCTTTTGTAAATAAAAGGTTTCTGTATTTATTTTATTGAACTTTGTGTGTAACATTAGGCTTATTCTACTCATTTAATTCATAGCCAGAATAATCTTTAAAGAGTTTAAGTTATTGGTTACTTCTTTATCACTAACTTTAGTGTTAACTCTTTATGCAGCTTAAAGCTCAGAATGATCGAGAAATACAAAGTATGGATGTCATATTTACTGAAAGACAAACGTGAGTTAAACTAACTTAAAAATAATACATATTTAAGTGAGATTTATTGTATTTACAATAGATATTTACTGTTTGAACCTGTTTTTTGTTTTTTTTTTTTTGTCTTTTTTATTTTTATCGGTACTGGGGATCGAACTCATGACTGCCTGCTTGAAAGGCAGGTGCTTATGCTGCTGAGCTAAATCCCCAGCCCCTGAACCTGTTATTTTACCATACCACTAAATAGCTGAATTTTTTATATTAATGAATTTAAAAATTACAGTACATAATGATTACTTTCATGATAGTAATTGGTACCTGTACCTAAGACATTTGAATTCCTTCCCACTTTCAAAAGATCTTTTTCTGTCACCTATTAATCTATTATTTTGCTCTTTAATTTACTATTACTTTGGGATTCTTGTAAAAGACAAACTGTGTGTGTCTGATTTATGTTACTTAACATTGGGGTCTCAAGGTATAGCTCTTTGCCTACCAGTGACTAAAACTTATCCCTCTCTATGGCAGAATAGTACCCCATTGGTGTAAATGCCAGGTTTTCTTTATGCAAAAATCTGTGGGTGGACATATAGGTCACTTCCAAGATTTAGCTGTTGAGGGTTGTACTGCTGAAAGCACGAGTGTGCATTTATTATTGTAATATCATGTCTTTAAACTCCATTAGGATAATACCTTGTGTGGGAATAGCTTGGTCAATGGGATTTCTGTTTTTAATTTTTGATGCATCTCTATAGTGATTTCCATAGTGATAGTACTAGTTGACATTCCCACCAACAATGTAGAAAACTTCCTTTCCCACCACTACCTTTTGTTACTATTTAATTTATTGGTTACAGGCATTACATCTCAAGTAAGATGGAATTTCAGCGTTGTTTTACTTTGTATTTCAGAGATGTTGAACGTTTTTTCATGTCTTTGTAGGCCATTTGTGGTTCTTCTGGGAAGTATCTTCATTTTTTTCAATATATACAGACAGTTTCCACATAATGTATTAAAGTTTTCTAGACAAAAGAATTTTACTCTAGAACATCATATATACAGATAAGAAGACACATATGAAATGTTTTAAATGATGCACAACAAAATCCAGCAGTGTAAAAGAATGTTTGTAAATTCTTGCTCACAGCACAGACTAAATTTAATCGGTTGTTTAAACAGTAAGGAAAATGTAATCTGTTATGGATCTTGTTCAGATTACAAAAGAGAGGAATTGTATGATTTTTTTATGTTACAATTGCTCATTTTTAAAATTTTATTTTATTTTTTTTATTTATTATTTTTTTTTTATTGGTACCGGGGATCAAACTCACGACCACCTGCTTGCAAGGCAGGTGCTTATGCCGCTGAGCTAAATCCCCAGCCCCCAATTGCTCATTTTTTAAATGAGTTGTTTACTTTGGGGGAGGTCTAATGTTTTGAGTTCTTTATATCATTTAGATATTAACTCTTCAGTCTAAAGAGCAGCAAGCAAACATTTCCCCCCATTCTTCAGGCTGTCTCATTACTCTGCTGATTCTTTTTTTGGCTGTGCATAAGATTTTTTTGATATTGGCTCTTGCTGTGTGTTCAGGCTGGCTGGCTGGTGTGGCACTTCTCCTGCCTCACCTTCCATGTGATGTGTTGGGATTCCAGGTGTGTATCACCATGCCCTGTACAAACTTTAATTTAGTATAAACTCATTTGTTCATTCTTATGTTATTGCTTATCCAAATTGAGTTCTTTTAAAAAAGTTCTTCCCTCACCTATGTCTTTTTAGAGCTTTATCTGTTTTATTGTCCAACAGAGTGTTTCTCTTTTAACATTTAGGTCTTTGGTCCATTTCAATTTTCCTTTAGTACATAGTAAGAAATAGGAGGTTTGAAATCTGGGATTGTGATGCCCCCCTGCTTTGCTATTAAGCCCAGCATTTCTTTTGCTATTCTGGGTCTCTTCTAGTTTCATCTGAATTCTAGAATTTTTTTCTCTAGTTTTGTCAGAAAGGCTGTTGGCTTTTTGATTGGGATTGGTTTTAAATCTATAAATCAGTTTTGGAAGTATGACCATTTTGACAGTGTTGGTTCTGCCTGTGCAGGAACAGGGTATATTTTTAGTTTTCTGATGTCTTCTTCAGTTTTCTTTCTCAAAGTGCTATATTATGGTTTTTGTTGTAGAACTTTTGCTTTCTTGGTAGTTTAATTCAGAACTATTTAATTTTTCTCAAAATCACTGTTAATTATACACTTAATTTCTCCATATATGGAAGGTGCAATACAAGATTTTGCTTTGGTTTTTTAATCTTCCTGTTTTCATTAATAAATTCTTAAAATTACGTTTGTAGCTAATTGAATTTTGGGGGGAATTGGCAAATAACTCACTTTATAGTGAATTGGTGAGCTTTCCTGGTGCTAGGACAAAATATCCAGCACTAGAGTTTAAAAGAAGAGGGTTTTTAATTTGGCTCATAGTTTGAGATTTAAGTCCATAGGTAGCTGGTTGTAAGGCAGGAGCAGCATGGTGGAAGGATGTGGTAGAATAAACCTGCTTAGTTCACTGTGGCCAGGTAGCAGTGTGTGCAGGAGAAGCACCGCGGAGAGATACACCCTCCAAAGGCACACATTCCATGGCCTGTCTCTTTCAAATGGACACTCAGTGGCCCATTTCCTAGTGGAACATTAGACTAAGAACATCAGTGGATTAATCCATGGTATAGGGCTTCCATGATGCAGTCACCTCTTCAGGAGTCTTAATCCTGTTATTGTCTCAGTGAGCTGGCTCAGATAGATTCCTTTCCCTACAGTCTTGGAGCTAGTGTTTTCCACAGTGTGTTCTTTGAATTGTGCTGCATATGGGCTTTTAGTAGATGTACTTAAGAAATGGTTTTGTTACGAAGAAAGTTTGGAAAATTATTAATATTTTGCTTTGAATGATCAGCAAACAATTTATTGTAATAGAGTCTCAGATTAGTCCTATAATGAAGAGTCTTATTTCACTTTGCTTAAATGCTACATTTCCTATAATAATTTGACTGCCTACCTTTTTTTTTTTCTTACAAATACTTCAAATGTATTTCTGTAAATTAGAATTCTAGAGGGCAATTTTGGAAATGTTGTTGGATGTATTGGATCCCAAATAGCTATCCATGGACCACCTCAAGATTCTTCAGCCTCAATACAAGCCTATCTGAATAGTATCTCACAGAGAGGCAGAAAAACGCATTAAAAAACTCCAAATTCATAAATAATTGTGATGCCCACTTTGGAAGTTGTTGTAGTCAGGGGATACAAGGAAACAATTATATACACGACACATAATTTATGCTATTACTATATAGTGGTCACCCAAAGAGTTAAATACAAAAAGTGTGGGAAATCTGTCCACACACTAAAAACCTGCAGAATCCAGCCAAAGGCCTGGATCCTGTAGCAGTACCCTGCATGAGGTCAGCTGAACAGTGCCTCCCATGAGTCCAGCTGGAGGCCTGGAGCCCATGACAACATCTCATGCAAGTCTGTTTCATTGTTCTGTGCTGGGAAGGCCCCAAAGTTAGTGGTGGAAGCTAGAAAGTCTGTGCCAGTGGCATGAATGATCTGTGTCAGTAAGCGTTCTGCACTGGAGCCAGGAAGCAAAGCTCAAAGTAAGAACCAGAGCTCCCCTGAAACCACAGCCATCCTCAGTGACAATGAATCCTGAGCTCCTCTGATGATAACAGCCAAATTCATGTGTGGAAGCCAGCATGACAAACTTTTTCTAGATGGACAGTACACCATGTTTCCCAGCAGAGGCAGCAAGCAATGATCAGCTAAGGATCAGAGCTCTCCCAAAGTGAGCCACAGTCATTCTCAGTGACAAGGTCCTGAGCTCCTTTGACAGAACAGCCAAGTTCATATCAGGAAACAAGCTCAAGGAACTCCTCCAGGAGAACCATGGCAACAGGAGAGCCAGCAGCACCACAGCATGTGGAGAACCAACAACACTCCTTCCCAGGTTTCATTTTTTATACTGGCAACAGTTATCAGGTAGGCCATCTATACTCAGCACCACGCTGATTCAGTCAGCTGTTGTTCATCAGGTTCAATCCATCACAGATGCCATCATGATAATAAATTGTGCAATCATGGGTTATGGTGACAACCTTTCTTAATAACTAAATCAGTAGTAATTATTAGTCTTTATGTTTGAACACTGTGCTACTAAATTTTGAAAAAATTTTGTTTTGCTAGTTCAGGAACCTTTAAAAAATATTTTCCTAATCCCTGATATCACCTTGTGAACATGAAATCAGTTGTAGGGTGGATGGAAGCTATGATTCTTCCTCACCTTGATTCATGATATAAATCCAAAAGCTTTATTTCTTGACCGACTGGAACATTAGTACAATTTAATACAAATTATATCACAAATATGTTTGTATGAAAATTGTTCATACTAATAAATAATTGAAGTCTTTTTACTAGTCTTATGGTCTCGTATATTAACTGTGTAGCTGTTAGCTAACATTAGTGTCAGTTACTGCATTTAGACCTACTTGCTCAGTGCAATAAGAGAAACATAATTTTTCATCTTCGTAGATACTGTACTGATCAATACATAGTTTGATATATTTTGCTTTAAAATCTCGAAGTCTAAGCTGTATTTGGACTGATAATGTTTTTGATGAGTCAAACATTAAAATAAATTAATTTTCTTCACATAATTCATGAGTATCTATATATTTATCTTCAATAAACCCATCATCATCTATCACAAATGAATGTAACTTTTCAAATATTACTGTAGTGTCTTCAGGGTTTGTGTCTGGTATTTGTGAAAGAGCACTTGCATTTCCAGGAAAGCTGTCTTCATAGGCTTCAGCTTCACGCTCTTCCAGACGATGATGATTGTAGCTAAGCAGCAAATTGTACCATATTGGGCATTTGATAGCGATAAAGATGAGGAGCGAAGTCAATAATACAGTGACAACAACACCAACAAGAAAAGCCCAACTTTTTCCAAGAGGTGCATGTTCTTGAGTGAAAGAAAAGAAAAAGAGATTTTGTTAAATTGTCAAAAATTAAATAATCATAGTCATAATTGCATATTTTACTATCCAGTATTAGAAATGAGCATATATTATAGTTTTCTTTAGTTAAAAGGCATTAATCATTAAATGAAAGGTATTTCAATTTGATGAAAGAGTACAGGTTGGGCATCCAACCCTGAAAATCCAAAATGTACCAAAATCTGAAACATTTTAAACACAAACGTGATTGTATATGTAGGAAATTCTAACCGTGACCTCTTATGACCAGTCACAGTCAAAACCCAGGAGAACTAAAAATATTGTGTAAAATTATCTTTAGGCTATATGTATAAGGTTTTACTGGACATAACTGAACATAAATGAATCTTGTATTTAAACTTCATTCCCATCACATTATGTATATACAAATAATCCAGAATCTGAAAAAATGCAAAACCTGAACCACTTTTGGTCTCAAGCATTTCAGATAGCAGATAATAAATCTGTACTTGTCTTTGCAGATTTTGTTACTCATATAAGACCATTACTGATTTATACTTGTTAAGAATTATGACTTGACTGAAAGTAAAGACTTAGAGAAGTTAAATGATACAGTGACATTTGGATAATAAGTGAATCTCAGTTGGAATCTCAGCATTTTGTAAATTTTTTGTTGAGATGAACAATTTTTTGCATGGTTTATAGAAATGAAAAGTGGAGAACAATAAAGAACTGTTTATTTAATATTCCTTCAGCAATATTAATATTCAAAATAAGTACATTACCTGAATTTCTTGTTATGTTACTTAAAGAGTTATTGAAAGTTGAATTGTCAATGGACTGAAAATTAATATTAAGATCTTCAATTACAGGTAGAGGAAATTTTGAATGGCATTCAGCAGTGTAGGGTGCTGTTTTGATACTATAATACTTCAGGATTTCTGGGTAGTTACAGGTGGTAATATTCTCATTTTCTAGCAAATAAGGAATAAATTAAGACTTAATATGGAGATAAGAATGGGTAATAACATTTATAAATATTTTTATCTAGAACTTGTGACCCCTTTTCTGGCTTTGAATCCAGGGCCCCACACATTATGTGAATGTTCTACTACTGAAGCTATAACATACCCCTTTTTAAATTTTTATTTTGAGACAGGGTCATGCTATGTTACCCAGCATGGCCTTGCACCTAGTTTTTTGCCTGCCCTCAGCTTCCTTAGTGTCTGGGACAGTTAGCATGCACCACCATTCTAGGCTAGGAAATGTTTCCCTACCAGTACTTGGAATTAAACCTAAGTGCTTTACACTGAGCTACATCTCCATAGCCCCTTTAACTATCTATCTATCTATCTGTCTGTCTATCTACCTATCTATCTATCCATCCATCCATGTATGTGTCTGTCTGTCTGTCTGTCTGTCTAGCTGTCTATGTATTTTGTTTTGAGCTTGTTATTTCATTAAATTGCTCATGCTGGATTTGAGCTTGCAGTTCTCCTGCCTCAACCTCTTGGTACAGTTGCATAACAATGCAATGAGGGAATGCCTATTCTACTTCAGTTGTCTTATGAATAAGCATAAGTGCAGTATCTGTTTATTGTTTAGTTTGCATAAGGAAAGATTTTATGAGTTAAGATTGTAATTGCAATTGCAAACGCCATGCTTTGCAGCTAACAAAGTAAGGCACCTGGCTTTATGCATTCCACGACAAGATGTCCTAAGAATGAATGCATATATTACTTAAAACAATGTTATGTACTGACTGCAAACTTACCATCTGGAATGAGAGTATCATCTCATATGTATATGTGTGTGTGTATAGTATTACATTTATATGTATTTCTGGGGTGGTAAAGAGAGCATTTATTTGGCAAATGCTTATTAGCCTGTCTTTCTGTCTGTCTGTCTGTCTTCCTTTCTTTCTTTCTGGACAGGAATAATTTACTTTTTATTTTTTATTTTCTGTGGGACTGGAGATCAAACCCAAGGCACCCTAGGCAGACATTCTACCACCAGGCTACATCCCCCAGCCCAAGTTTCCATTTTATAAAAAACGAAATGAGACATTTTTGTGGAGCAGAACAGCAAAAGTTAATCACATTTTAGTTTTGATGAATTTCAATTATGATAGCTTACCTAGTGTCACATTTGATGTGTTCAACCATTTCTGCAAATTGAACAGACTGCAAGAGCAGTTCCATGGATTTCCATGTAAAACTATTATTTCCAGATGAAATAGTTGTGGTTCTTCAAAGTAGTATAACAAATTTCCTTGCAGGTTCAGAAGTTTGAGGTTGTTTAGAGGCACAAACAAGTCAGGATCCAATTGTAATATTTTGTTTTGGCAGAGATGTAACTGTTGTAGTTTATTTAAGCCTACAAATGCATCCTGTTGAATTACATTGATGGAGTTTCTACAGATATTTAAGATTTCTAGATTGGAGAGGTTGCTGAAACTGTTACTATGTAAGGTAGTAATGCTGTTCTTAGTCAAATAGAGCTCAGTGAGTAAAAAATACATCCGTAGCACCTGTGTGTCTGTCATATTCAGAGTAATTTGGTTATAACTGAGATCAAGAATAGTAACATTGTCATTGATATCCGCTGGAATTAAAGAATAATTCTTTTCTGTGAAATTACATTTGACTTCCTAAAAAAGAAGAAAAAAACAAATGCATTCACAAGGAATATACGTGTTTTCAGTTTTGTAAACAAGCACTTGGATATTGGAAGAAATCTGTAAAAAAAAAAAACCCAATGTTTTGATGCTATAGTATAAAAAGGTCGAACAGGTGTTTTTCTGTATTGGGATGAAATACTTTTTTTTTTTTTTTTTTTGTCTTTTTCGTTTTTATCGGAACCAGAGATCAAATTCACGACTACCTGCTTGTAAGGCAGGCGCTTATGCTGCTGAGCTAAATCCCCAGCCCCGGGATGAAATAGTTAAGAACAAGAAAATTCTGATATGATAAAGCCAGGCAGTTATAGTTATACAGGCGTCTTCCATCCTTTATAATAGTTACGGAAAGAATCTGATAAATTTCTATTTATATAGATAGAAATATAAGGCAAATAATAATTCTGTTAACTTAATATTCTAATGTGCAAAGTAGAATTCAAGTTCAATTCACGTTATCTTAAAACTCAAAACTTAGTGTTTTTGTTTTGCTTTGGTTGTCACAGTAGGGATATTTTTTATTTTTTAGTTTCGAGTCTGGGTCTTGCTAAGTCTTTAAATTACTGAGGCTGGGCTCAAACTTGCAGTCTTTCCTCAACCTCCCAGAGTGCTGAGATTATAGATAGGAGCTACAATGTCCTGTTCAGTTTGGTATTTTAGAGCTTTTTTTTTTTGATAGTGTCTCACTACATAGTTCAGGCTGGCCTTGAGCTTACTATGTCACCTAGGCTGGCCTCCAACTCTTGGCATTCTCCTGCCTCAGCGTCCTGAGGGCTGGGATTCTAGCCATACATCACCAAGCCTGACTCACACTTTGCTTCCTTTAATCAATTCATTAAAAAACAAAGGCTGCCCTTGTCAAATTATGATCTGCCTCAGATTTCCAGACAGTTTCCATTTTCTTTCTTTGTTTTGTTGTTGTGCTTTTGAATATTTAAATAGATGTACAGAAAGGTTACCTTTGGAAACGTTTTTACTACCTTCATTGTCAAAACTTACAGTTTTAGAAGTCCGGCTTTTGTCTGATAATAGCAGCATGGAGAAGGGCCAAAACGCAGTCAGGATGCTTGCGATTTTCATATCGCAGGTCTGATAGAAAAAAGAGTATTTTCATCTCAGTGAAAGAGGAAAACGTTAGAGATTATCAAAGCCATATTGATTTCCTTTTCCCTTTTCACGTGTGGTTTTTCTTAATGCGAAACAAGGACAGCATGTCGCCTTCACCATCACTGCTCTGTGACCCTACCAAACTAGAAAAGACCCTGTCAGAGCCACTTCGTGTTTTCTGTAGTGGTTCATTAGTCCCAGAGCTGAGAAAAGGAGCTCCAAATGCAGGCACATTGTTGTACATTTAAAAGTTTACTGTATATGTGCCAAAGAAGTGCAGAGGCATATATTTTTATATCCGCATGTTTAAGTATATGTTTGTATTACTTCTTTTTGATTTTTAATGTTAGTTTTATTAATTTATTAATATTATCATTATTATCCATGAGTAAAATGGTAGGAGATGAAAATCTTTAGCTTTTTCTCAGAGACTCTTAGCTTAATTGTCAATACATTGGACATTCATTTTTTAACATAGTTTTTTCTAATTTTTGTTAAGGTGAACGTTCAATGTTTATATTATCAAAAATATATTTAAGTCATCAGTGACTGAGCCCTATAACAAAGTTACTTTTTCAGTTGCTGTGCATTTTTTCTATTATTAATTGAGCGTTTCATGTGCTTCTCATTTTTTTTTCATAAGTTTATGACTGTACTTTCCCATAGGAAATGCTCAGTGTGTATTAGGTATTTAATGTGTTTAACCTCCTTTAAAAACTTTCTTTAATCTGCTTTAACCTGTTCTGTAGCCTGCTACCATTCTCTAATTTAGGGAATCCAACCCACAGCCCTCCTTTCCTCACAGGTGACTTCTGCCTTCATTGTGGACACTCCTTTTTCCTCTGGTCCTGGATTTTTATTTTCTAGAATCCTGTTTTGTTTTATTGCCATCCTTCAATGGAGTAGTGAGGAAATAAATTTTTAAAACGTTAATGGTATCGCTCCATTGGCTTTTCCATTGCTATGTCTTTCTTTAGCCTTTAATCTAAAACCTATTATCAATATTCTGAAAAGCCTAAATCAGTATTCTAAAATTCCACACTCAATGTTTTCATTAGTTAAAGTGGGTGCTTCCTTGGCCCTTTTAATCTGAAAACTGTGTCCCTCAGTTGTGAGAATTTTTCTTTTCTTTTTCCTTTTAAACCAGTTTCTATTTGTAGAACTGCCATAACTGGATTTTTGGACTGATGGACTTTTTTCAAATCTGTGTTTTCTTACATTTCTCTCTGTTTTGGCTCTGGGAGACATCTTTGTCTTCAAACTCTAGGTTACTTACTCCTGTCATTTTTTAATCCTAAAACATCTTTTTTTGGTTCTCTTAACATTTTCTTCTGTAGTCCTGTTGGATGAATGTGTTTTGTGTCTGTCTCTTCTTTTTTTTTGTCTTTTAAATCCCGGGCCCCCTAACTTTTCTGATTTCTAAGTTTTAATGCTGTTACTTCCTCTCTTGTTTTCTCTGTCCTTTTCAATTTATGCTCCATTTTACCTTTTGTTTTCATTTTTGTGGGGTTTTAAGCAGGGATCAACCTCAAATTTTTAACTAGAAGTTTTCACTTTGACTAGTGAACACTCTATCTTTTTGTTGGTACTGGGATTGAACTCATGACATCATACTTGCTAGGTAGGTGCTTAAGCTGTTGAGCTGAGTCCCCAGCCCTGGTGAACACTCTAAATATTTTACTTTCAATGATTTATTCATGACCTTGTCATTCTGTTTCTACCTCTGTTTTCTCAAAGTCGGCATCAGAAACTCTTCTAAAAATAAATTATCTGTTTAAGAGAATATAAATTTATCCTGTCATCTTTAAGAATTTTCTAAAATTTTGCTGATCAGTCTTCTTACAGTTAATTACTTAGGCTCCCCACAACCACCCTTAGGAAAACTTGCATCACAGTAGGAAGTGAGTAAACTAATCGGAGCCAGGAGATCTTTTCAGTTCACTTATGTCTACTGCCTCATTAACAATAGGAATTTATTATTATTTAGGTGCTGGCCTGGGCTAGTCCCCTTCCTCATTGCTTTCAGTTTTTTGATTAGCCTTATATTCCTCCTAATTTTTCTTTCCATAGTTAAATGAAGTTATTAGAAAAAGTCTGCTTGTCAGATTTTTTAAATGCAACTTGGATATACATTATAGCAGAATCTCTGTTAGAGCCAGAAATGGATTTAAGCTATCACTTGCTCCATGCCACGTAAAAAACGGAGTGCCTACAACTTTTGTTTACAAGTGCTGGTTGAACTGTGTTTAATGATCTCCAGGCATAGTGGCACAGCTTAATGGCTGTTTCTGTTACTTCTCTATGATGTGGTGAAGTTCCTACTGACACCTCTGGTGGGATGCAGAGGTGAGTGAGGAAGGGTCAGGGAGAAGGGTTGGGAGGGGAATGGTTAAAGGAAGCAAATAAGCTACAGAGAAAATGAACTGGAAAAGAAATCAGCAAGGAAGAAACTGGAGATGAGGTAAGGCTGTGAGCCTGCATGGAAACAAAGAATGGTCTTGTACTTACTGTCTTTATTTAATAATAGTTATTTTCTTCAGCATACTAAAAGAAACAAAAGGATTAGAAAACAAATCTTAGTTTTTTCTTTCCTTTTGATAAATTATAGAGTTAAATGCTCAGAATTTTGTATAAGAAAGCATTCATCCAAGTCTAAAGCATTGTAAGATTTGGTTCACATGGTTCATGGTGTTTTTTTTTTTTTTGGTACTGGGGATCAAACTCATGACTGCGTGGTTGCAAGGCAGGCGCTTATGCCACTGAGGTCTGACCCAGTTCATGGTGTTTTTACATATTGTGTATCTTCTTACACGGGAAACATTAAGAGAGGAATAAATATCCACCATGGTAACAATGAATGAATTGCTGGGCAAAAACATTGGCTATCTAAAAGAAATCACACTGGCTGAGTACCAAATTAGTACGCTATGTGAAAACTGTTTCTGAGTTAATTTACCCTTTCAAAAATTTGATTTAAAAAGAAGATACTTTGCCTTTTTCCTTTTTAAAAATTTTTTTCTTAACTTGAAATTTGTTTTAAAATGATTTTGAAGTTTAAGAATTACTTAGGAACAAATAAAAATAGAAGATATGTGGAATATCTTTCTTTTAGTTATTTCATAAAATTAGGAGATCTTTTATACAGCATACTGTGATTACAGATTAAAAAAACTACACCAAGGTGAATAACAGACATTTGAAAAAAAAAATGTCGTGTTCTTAATGAGATTTCAAGTACAACCTTAGGTTATTTATTTTATGTGATTATTACATGGAATGAAATGAAAAAGATACAATTTTTTGTATATTTTTATAGACATAAAATCAATGTGTAATTTTATCCTTCAGTATTTTAGATATTTGTAATGTGGAGTTAGTATATTTGTTGTAAGATGTGGATGATTGACAGTTTCCTATAACCACTTATTAGAGTTTTTTAAAATTTACTTACTATCATGAAATTTTTCATGGAAAAAAAAGTTAAGGGTAACCATTATCACCAGCTTTAAAGGTTTCAACTACAGTGGTGGTCCTTTTTAATCTTGCTAATTTATTTTTAGGTTAAAAAGTCACTTGAAAATACTGTGACTGACATATTTCAAAATAAAGACATTTCATAAATTTGATTTGCTAGATGAAATCTTTTTTCCTCACCAGAAATCTAATTTCTTTATATAACACTATAACTTCTATTTGTGAAAGATTCTTTGACTATCTCCCAGATTTATGTTATTTCTGACACAGATCATGTGAAAATATAATCATATTTTCTGTCCTTTCATTTAAGGCAAACGTTATATAATCTTAACAAACTTTTTAAAATTCAGCAACAACCACCAAATCTATAAATATGTAGGAACTTACCTTTACTTTTTCCTTTTATCTGTGAGATTGGTGTGCTAAAGAAGTTTATTCTGTTTCTTCAACACCTTAAGAAAAAAAAAGTTATGTCATATGATGGTATTTCAGTTTGTTCTAACCTTTGTACCCAATGAACAAGTGATTAAAAAAAAAGTTGGACTTCCTTAGCAAAAGATTGACTAGAGGAATAATTTCTTAAAGTCATCTCTGACTTTTTAGTGTAACTCATAAAGTGTTTTACATAATCTGTTTCTAAATTATTTTTCAAAAATTTATCAAAATAGTAAGTTTTTTTTACTGAAAGCATATAGGATTGAGAGTGCATACTTTTAAAAGATACATTGTTTCTCAATGTGTTTTAAGTATTTTGTATTTAGAAGGATTCAAATTGAATAGCTACTATTAAGTTTTGTATTCCATTGACTTAACTTTGTTGTGTACTCATTTTATGATACCTTCCTTGGTCATTTTACTGCCATGTTGTAACAGGAATAAAGGACTTACAGCATCAGATGATGTGACACATGGTTTATATGTAGCCTTTAGAAAATCAGCAGCCTTCCTTGTGCTGTAATTTCCCCTCTATAGAATGAAATTCTGTAAATTAGTTCCCATGTACAGTAGACACAGTAGGAAGAAACACTGACAATGGTGAGCATACATTAAATTTAGAGTAAATGAGTTCTAAAAGATTAACTCCTCCAGCCTTTAGTATTTTTAATCCATAAAACAAGAGATTGAAATAGATGATCCTTTTTTACTTAGAAGTTTTGTGAGCTCATATACACGTAGAAATTGTTACAAGCAACAAACACATTTGTTTTACTATAGTAGTTGAACTTCAAAGGGAAGCCTGTCCACCAGTGAGACAAAACAAATGGTCTGAAATGCCTGGTTGCACTGTTATCATCTTGTATTTGATCATTCTGAGATGTTGTAGATGGGTGATTTCTGAGTTTGGGTTATTTATGGGATTGGCAGGCTCTGAATATGTAGGAGATGTGGGGATGTGTTCATTTACTGGCCTTAGGTGGTGATTGTGAAAACTGGAAATGTCTGTGAGTGAAAGAATAATCCGATTTTGAAACCCAGTCAGAAATTTATGATTTTGAAACTGGAAATTTATGTTAAGTCCAGCTTTTTGTTTATGAATGTTGTGTATTTGTACAGTAAATGACATATCACCTGTTTTTCAGAAATTCTCTCTACCCTATTAATGATTGACTACATAGAAAAATACCTCACTGTTATTTCTTGACATGATAAAGATGATTATTCTTATTAACTTTATTCTTACTACTGCGTAGATAATGTATTATTTCACAGTGCTAAAATAAATCATATTAATGTAATAAGTAAAATAAAACTTAAGGAAAGCATTATATTAATCTAAAGCTATTATTTCTGTTCTTTTTTTTTTTTTTTTTTTTTAATAGGTACCGAGCATCGAACTCACGACTGTGTACTTGTCCTAGGGCCCCCCCTCCGCCTTTTTTTTTTTTTTTTTTAAACAGATTGCCCTATAGGTTTCTCTGCTTGCCAGCTCAGTCAGAACTGCATTGCTTTCTATGATTTGTATGGCAGATTTTAATTCAAAATTTCATTTGGTCAAAGAATTCTGTGGCTAAAGGTTATTCATAAACAACTATTTTAAAACTTAACTTTCTCATATTTATCTTTTGAGATATAGCAAAATGTGTAACTGCATCTTCATCTGTATGAGGTCTTAGGAATTTTCTGTGATAATCTTTGGATTCTTTTCTTAGGAAAATGGAGAGTAAAATACAATTTGGAAAGGGAAAAAAGAAAGATAAGTCTGTATGGATGCGGCCAAATTTCATGTAGTTTAAATAAGGTCTTGTTTTGCACAAATACAAAGACTTTATTACCACACATTATAGTTGCATATCTTTAAGTATCCTATTCAAGACTGTGACCTGACTGAGAAAAAAGACCTTTATGTCTTTTTTCCCTACTATAATAACAGGAAAATTACATGCTTTTCATTCTAGGAAAGAAAAACAAATTGCGAGTGTGGAAGAAGAAATTGAACAAGAAAAACAAGCGACAGATGGCATTATCAGAAATATGTCTTCTGAGAAACAAGTCAAGTACATAGAGATGAAAAGCACAAACGAGAAATTGTTACAGGTGACACTTTGTTAATTATTTCTGAGTGTGAGGCACCTAGCAGTCTTGCTCCTGAAAGTGTGGTCCCGAAGATCGGCAGCATCAGTGTCTGGTGAAAACTGGACTAGGCCTACTGTACAGAGTCTTTGTTTTAACAAAGTTTTCTGCTAATTCATAGGAATATTTAAATTTTAGAAGCTGTGATCCCGGCATTTTGGAGACTGAGACAGAAGCTTTGCCATGAGTTTGAGGGTAGCCAGGGCTACAGAGGGAGCTCAAGGCCAATCTGAACTGTGTAGTTGAGACCCTGTCTCAAAAAAACAAAACAAAACAAAATACCCCATTTCAGAAGCACTTGTCCAGATAACTTCATTTTTTAATGCTGTGTGATAACCTGGCTTTTTTACCATTACTACTTGCTCAGTTGTGTGCATCATCAGTTTTGCATGTCATAAAGATGCAAGAAACACTAGTATTTTAAGTGTACTTTTAATGAGTCATTAAAAGGCTTCATGGACCAGCATCATATGAATATTAACATTCTTTCCTTTTCTTTCTTGTGTAAGAGGTGGCAAAACTGTTGTGCTCCTCATTTGAATACTTACTGCCTTCTAATCATATTGTATAAATGTAATTTAGGTGCCCACTGTGGGATTATTGATAACTTTCTCATTGTTCAGTTGTGATGATCCCCTTTCATGCCTAGATCACCCCTTATTAAAGGATTAGCAAAGAATTAGACCATGTAAGGACCAGAAATAAATATAGTTTAGAATGTGCAGACATCCCTTCACTGATATTTTAGTATAACTTTTTATATTAGATAATATTTATAAGATACAATAAAACACCAAAGAAAGAACATTATAGTAATGCGAAAATACTATCAAAGCATACTTAATTTTTATAGGGGTTATGAATGGGTAGTTAAAAGAATTTATCCTAGGAGTAAACCATGTTTGTTTGTTTCTGTGTGTGTGTGTGTGTGTGTGTGTGTGTGTGTGTGTGTGTGTATGTGTAGGGCTTCACCCTAAAAGAAGTTATTCAAAACATGAAAATATTGTTGAAAGTTAAAATTGAAAATCCTAATTTAAGTTATGACATCCTTAATTTGAAAGCTCCTGATACTTAATCTCTTCAGAACACTGTACTGATTTACTGTGAAAAGGTCTGGATACTTTTGATAAGCTTTTTGTAGGTATGTGGCACAGGTTTTTAGGAATAGAGAAAAAATGAAACAATGAGGAAACAATGAAATGGTGGTAAATTCTGGTTAGTATGGAAAAAACTGATTGAAGATGTTTATAAAATATACTCTGTACTGCTTATATAGTTTTAGAAATGTTGAGACATAGGGAAGTAATTTATATTAATATTTGCCTTTTTATCCCTTTTTAGGAATTAGATGCACTTCAGCAACAGTTAGATTCACTGAACATGAAGAAAGAGAGCTTGGAAACTGTAAGTATAAAATCAAAGGTTCTCATATCACAGCTACAAAAAATAATTCAGGCAAATATTAATAGAACTCCCCCACTTACGTATTTACTTAGCAGGTTACTACAGGAATTCTATAATATTTCTTCCTGTTTTGGATCACAAAGATCTTATTTGGGTAAAAAAATTAGATTCACTTATTGAATACCTACTGTGTACAAAATAAACCATTCTGCCTCAGTGGGCTATGCCAGAAACTAATGACAACTTAAAAGACATACGCACAGAGACTACAATTAAATAAAAAGCAAAAGAGTTCAATCACTTTATTGTTATTACTATTATTTTTGGTATGGGGACAGAATTCATGACCTTGTCCTTGCCAGGCAGGTGCTTGTGCTGCTGAGCCAAATCTCTGGCCCCAGATCAATCGCTTTAAAGATGTACATGCTTAGGGGCTGGGGATTTAGCTCAGTGGCATAAGCACCTGCCTTGCAAGCAGGCAGTCATGAGTTCGATCCCTGGTACCAATAAAAAGGAAAAAGACAAAACCAATAAAACAAGATGTACATCCTTGCATTTGTCTTCTAATTTATTTAAAGTAACTTCTAATGCACATTAAAAACCCTGTGTTAGGGGCTGGGGATTTAGCTCAGTGGCATAAGCGCCTACCTTGCAAGCAGGCAGTCTTGAGTTCAATCCCCAGTACTGATAAAAACAACAACAACAACAACAAAAAAAAACCCTGTGTTTATAATTAAGAGTCAAAAAAGATGCAAGTGCAAGCAAAGTGATCTTTCTCTTGTCCCTCATTCTAGAGAGGACTACTGTGACATTTTTTTGAATGTTTACTGTGTCTGTTTGAGCTCTTCATGCATATTACTGACATGGTTGGTTAATTTTCATAACTATCCTGCCATTCTGCTTCCCTTTTAAAGATATAGGAAACCCCAAATGGAATTTCCTACAAATGGAGTTTTTGAAATGCTAATATGCTACCTGCAGTTTTTGTTTCACCTTAACGTTACCTATTAGTTATGTTTTGTTTTTCAGTGCTGGGACTGAACTTACACATGGTAGGCAGCACTCTGTAACAGATCTATATCTGCCTATTGAATGTCTTCATCATTTTGGAGACCCATCACTATTTTAAGTTGTTGCTTTGTATAATGTTATATTATTGTAAAAGCAGTATAGATGAATAGGCTGTCATTTTCTGCAGTTATAAACTATAATGAAAACATGCATTTTATGCAAAGCTATACATTGTAAGATTAATTTCTTATAACAAATGAAAAGGCATACACTTCTAAAATATTACGAGATTTTCACATTACCTCCAAAACCACATTTTTTGAATTTTTACTCTGAGACATATAAGAACGTTTCTTTCTCCTTGTGCTCATTGACAGGAAACATTATCCCACATTTCCATTTTTTGCTACTTTAATGGGTAAAACTAACTCTCTGATTTTTTGCTTTGTTGTCTTTTGTTTTGAAATGGTATCTTGATCATGGTGCTTAGGCGCTTGAATCCTTCAGCTTCCTAAGTAGCTGGTACTATAGGAAAATGCCACCTATTCCTAGCTGTTACTGCATTTTAATTTTCATTTACTTAGGCATGAAGGTGAGTATCTGCTTATGTATTGGTTAGCAGTAAAATTTCTTTTTTCATGAAATTATTCTTGCGTTTCAGTATATTTATGCTCTGTTTCTCAGTGTTCAGCTCAATGTACTGCCTTGGTTGCCCAAGCTTCCTGTACTTTGGGTAGATTTGATGACGGGTTAATAATAGTTATGTCATGGTGTAGTTTGTCATCTCATTTGTGAAAGAAATAAATATGAATAATTTATAGTTATTTCTTTGAGAATTTGGAGTTAAAATTATTTTTAAATATTAAGATGATTTTCTGTGTCTAGTTGTCCACCTGTAAGTACACCTAATTTTTTTGTACCTCTAGTGATGAAAATGTGCTTCAAGGAAAAAAGACAACATTTAATAGTAATATAGCTAGCTTGCAAAATTCCTTTTCTGGATGAATGGCAGAGTGGTGAGTCTTTTTTTTTGGTCTTTTTCCTTTTTATCAGTGCGGGGGATCGAACTCATGACTGCCTGCTTGCAAGGCAGGTGCTTATGCCACTGAGCTAAATCTCCAGCCCCTGCTGAATCTTTTTTAATTTGACCAATTTAGTTACCGTAGAAAAATGTATGAGCTATAACTCGTTTGGTTTTTATAGTCATGTCAGACTTCTTTGTTATCAGTATATATACATATATATTTTAAAAATAATAGCTTTTTATTTATTAAAAAAAGGGTAGAAATAATACAATTTCAAAAAAATAAACAGTAAGAAATCACTAGTTGATAATTACATATTGTCCTCTTACAAATAGTTGTTCAGGTTACAAAAGTGAAGCATACCAAGTGGACGTTCAAACAGCGAGACTGCAAACAGTTCTGCTCAACCATCCAATAAAAACTTAATAATACGGTTATCAATCCTATACACTTAAACATACATCAGTTATATCCTTCAGAGTACTTTCTGTTCCTCTCTTTTTTACAATAGCAATTGCACATTTTGGGTTTTATTACTCATACATTTCTTAATACTTTTTACACTAGAGATACAATGTGATATTTATAAATATGATTCTTGTTTATTACACTAATGAGGATAGCCTCAAGTTGTCTCCATTTGCCTGTGAAGACCTCAAGATCATCATTTTTATAGCTGAGTAATATTCCATTGTATAAAAATACCACATCTTTTTCATCCACTGTGTGATTGATGGGCATCTGGTTGTTTCTAATAATTAGTTATTATAAATTGTGCTGCTATGAACATGGGTGCAACATATATCACTATGATATGACCTTTTCAGTTTTTCTGGGAAAATACCCAGGAGGAGAATAGCTGGGTTGCATGGAACTTCCAATCCTAGTCTTCTGAGAATTCTGATACATACTGATTTCCATAGTGGTTTTACCAGTCTATATCCCCACCAACAGTGGAGCAGTGTCCCCTTTTCCCTGCAACCTTGCCAACATTTGTTATCTGTTGATTTCTTGATGGCAGCTATTCTTTCTGGAGTGAAATGAAATCACAATGCTGTTTTAATTTGCATTTCTCGAATAACCAGTGGTGATGAACATTTCTTCATGTATTTATTTGCCATTTGTATGTCTTCATCTGAGAACTGTGTGTTCATCTCAGATGCCCATTGTTGGAGAGGGTCTTTGAATTTGAGGGGCTTGATGTTTTTTTAATTCTTTTTATGTTCTTGATATAAGTCCTTTGTCTGAGGGGTTGCTGGCTAAAATTCTTTCCCATTCTGTGGGTTTTATTTTACTCTGTTGGTGATTTCCTTTGATGTGCAGAAACTTTTCAATAATACAAGATCCCAGTTGTTGATTCTTTGAAGTGTTTCCTGTGCAGTTTTTTTTTTTCATGAATTCTCTGCCTACCCCTTTATCTCCAAGATTTCTACCTACCTTATCTTCCAGTAGATTTAGTGTTTCTGTTTTAATATTTTGGTCTTTGATCCATTTAGACTTTAGTTTTATGCATGGTGATAAGTATGGATCTAGTTTCAGTTTTCGGCATGTGGAAAGCCAATTTTTCTAACACCATTTATTAAAGAGGCTATCTTTCCAGTGAACACGTTTAGCCCCTTTGTCAAATATAAGGTCGCTGAGTGTCTTTGTAGTTAGTTGTTCCTGCATCTTCTAATCTGTTCCATTGATCCTCAGGTCTATTTCTTTGCCAGTACCATGCTGATTTTATAACTGTGGCTTTGTAGAATAGAATTGAGATGTCTCCTGCCTTGCCTTTGTTGGGGCAGAATTGCCTTTGCTATTCTATGTTCCTTCTGTTTCCAAATGAATTTTAGGAGTGTTTTCTCTACATCTGTGAGGTATATTAATGGTATTTTTGATTGGGATTGCATTAAATCTGTATAACAGTTTTGGGAGTGTGGCCATTTTCACAATGTTGGTTTTTCCTAGCCAAGAGCAAGGAATATCCTTCCATTTTCTAATATCCTCTTCAGTCTTTTTTTAGTGTAACATAATTTTCAGCATATAGGTCTTTTACATTCTTAGTTGATTCCTAAGTATTTCATTTTTTTAAGATGCTGTTGTGAAGGGCAATATTTCCATAATTTCTCTCAGTGAGGTTTTTGTTTGTGTACAGGAATGCTATTGATTTTTGAGCGTTGATTTTGTATCCAGCTACACTGCTGAATTTGTTTATTCTAGTAGTCTTTTAATGAAGTTTTTTGGATCTTCTCTATAAAGTATCATGTCATCTGCAAATAGTGATAATTTAGCTTAATTTCTGTTCCTTTTCTAATTGCTCTGGCTAGTGTTTCCAGAACTATATTGAATAGGAGTGGTGATAGTGGACATCTTTGTCTTGTTCCTGATTTTAAAGTGAAAGCTTTCAGTTTTTGTCCATTTAGTATAATGTTGGCTGTCGGTTTGTCTTAGATGGCCTTTATAAGATTGAGGTAGACACCATGTATTCCGAGTTTCTGAAGGGTTTTTATCATGAACATATGTTGAACTTTATTGAAAGATTTTTGTGCATCTATTGAGATAACCATGTGGTTTTTGTTTTTGGCTTTATTGATGTGGTGTATTACATTTATTGATTTGCATATGTTAAACCATCCCTGCATTCCTAGAATGAATCCCACTTGTTCGTGATGTATAATCTTCTTAATGATTTGCTGCATTCTATTTGCCAATATTTTACTGAGAATCTTTGCCCCAGTGTTCATTAGCGAGATTGGCCTATAGTTCTCTTTTTTGATTGGGTCTTTCTCTGGTTTTGGTATCAGAGTAATACTTGCCTCCAGAAATGATTTAGGGAGGATTGCTTCCATTTCAATTTCATTGAAGAGTTTAAGGAGTATTGGCATCAAATCTTCTCTAAATTTCTTGTAGAATTCAGCTGTGAATCCATCAGGACATGGGCTTTTCTTTGTTGGTAAGTTTTTAATTACATTTTCAATTTCAATAGCTGATACTGGGTTATTCAAAATTGCTATATCTTCTTGTTTGAGCTTTGGTAGTTCATATGTTTCTAGAAATCTGTCCGTTTCCTCTGTGTTTTCTATTCTATGTGAGTAGAGATTTTCAAAGTAGGTATTCATGATTTTTTGAATTTCCATGGGATTTGTCGTAATTTTCCCCTTTTCATTCCTTATTACATGAATTTGGGTTTTTTCTTTTTCTTTATAAGGTTAGCTAGAGGTTTGTCAATTTTGTTTATTCTCTCAAATAAACAGCTTTTTGATTCATTCACTCTTTGTATTTTTTTTTTTTTTTAGTTTCAATTGCATTGATTTCTGCTCTAACCTTTACAATTTCTTCTCTTCTATGAGCTTTGGGTTTAACTTGCTCTTCTTTTTCTAGAAGCTTGAGATGAAGCATGAGCTTGTTTATTTGTGCTCATTCTGTCTTCTCGATGTGACAATTTATTGCTATATATTTCCTTCTTAAGACTGCTTTCATTACATCCCACAGATCGCAATGTTGTTTATGCATTTTCATTGAATTGTAGGTATTGCTTTATTTCTTCTTTAATTTTATCTGTAGCCCATTGGTTGTTAAAAAGGTCATTATTTAATTTCCATGTATTTATGCAGGTTTTGCAATTTCTTTTACCATGAATTTCCAATTTCAATGTGTTATGGTCAGATACTACGCATGGGATAATTTCAGTATCTTTGCAGTTACTTAAGAATCTTTTATGGGATAATATATGATCTGTTTTAGAGAATGTTCCATGTGCAGCTGTGAAGAATGCGTATTCTGATGTGGTTTAGTGGAACACTCTGTAAACATCTACTAAATCCAATTGCTTGCAGTTCTATTATTTCTTTGCTGACTTTTTGTCTAGTTCATCTATCTCTTTGTGACAATGGGTTGTTAAGGTCCCCTGTTGTAATTGTTTTCTTGCGTATTTGGTTTTTCATCTACATTAGTATTTGTCTTATGTAGTTGGGTGCTCCTGTATTTGGTTCATATATATTTATAATCATTAATTCTTCCTCTTGAATTTTTCCACTAACAAGTATGTAGTGACCTTTTTTAATCTCTTTTAATCATTTTAGGTTTGAAGTTTACAGTTGTCTGTAAATAGAATAGTTACCCTTGCTTTTTTCTGGGTTCCTGCTGCATGAAATACTGTTTTCCATCCTTTGACTTTTAATCTGTGAGTTTCCTTTTGGGTCAGATGTGTTTCTTGTATTCAATGTGTTGTGGGATCTTCTTTCTTGATCCATTCTGTCAACCTGTTTCTTTTGATAGGTGAATTGAGGCCATTTACATTTATAGACATCACTGATATATACTGGCTTGACTTTGCCATGTTATGTTCCAGGTATTTGCTTTCTGTTTTTCTCCATTGTTTAATTGGTTATCCTACCTAGTGGTTTCTTTCTGTTGTTCTGGAGATTTTGGTCATTTTTATCTCTATCTAGTATGTCTTTCAATAATTTTTCTAGGGTTGGTTTGATGGATGTAAATTTCTTCAGTTGTTTTTGTCATGGAAGTATCTTGTTTCTCCATTAAATTTGAATGAAAGTTTTTCTGGGTACATCAGTCTGGGTTGAAAGTTGTTTTCTTTCAGGGCTTGAAATACCTCACTACATGCTTGTCTTGACTTGAGGGTTTGTGCTGAAAAGTCTGCTGTGATTCTAATGGGCTTTCCTTGATAGGCAAGTTGTGTTTTTTCTTTCTTTCTTTCTTTTTTTTTTTTTGTCTTTTTCCTTTTTATTGGTATAGGGGATCGAACTCTCGACTGCCTGCTTGCAAGGCAGGCACTTATGTTGCTGAGCTAAATCCCCGGCCCCCAAGTTGTGTCTTTTCTCTAACAACTTTTAGTATTCTGTTGTTATGCTGTATGTCTGAGATCTTAATTATATGTCTGGGTGTAGATTTTTGTTGGTTGTGACTGTTTGGTGTTTTATATGCCTTACTTATGTGCATATCAGATTTTTTCCCCCCATGTTTGGGAAATTTTCTGCTATTACTTCTGTGAATATTTTAGTTACATCTTTTGCATTGACTCCTGGTAATAGGAGTTTTTTACAAAAATGTATAATATCTAGAGTCAAGAAAACAGTGTAAAGATCACTTTTACTAGATCCTTTCTCTCCATCTCTTCTTTCCTTACTCCCTTTATTCTAGATTTTTTCAAGCAAAAATGTTACATAGCTGTTATCACCTAGTATTTATTATCTAGTTTGTGTTAATAGTGATATTATTAACTCATATTTTTGTTAACTTGGAAAATTATTTAGCTCTCATATCTGCACTTCCCTTGTTTGTAAAATGGAGATGATAGCAGTGCTGTTAGTGCTATGAGTGTGAGTACTGGAGATAACGTATAAAGAACATTTAGTACAGTGTCACACAAAACAAATGTTCTATAAATAAGAGATTCCAAAGTCAACTTAATTATCTTTATCCTCAACATTCTTTTATTTATTTATTTTTTGTACCAGGGATTGAACTCACGACCTCACACTTGCCAGGCAGGTGCTTATGCTGCTGAGCCAAATCCCCAGCCCCCTAATAAAGCTTTTTTTTTTTTGTCTTTTTCTTTTTTATCGGTACCAGAGATTAAACTCACAACTGCCTGCTTGCAAGGCAGGCGCTTATGCTGCTGAGCTAAATCCCCAGCCCCCTAATAAAGCTTTTTTTCTTCTCTCTGTCTCTTATTTCCCTCTCTCCTTCCCTCCTTCCCTTGCTTCCTCTTCTTTTCTTTTCTTTTTTTTTTTTTTTTTTGAGACGATCTTGCTGTGTAGTTTAGACCGGCCTTGAACTCATTATGTAGCCCAGACTGGCCTCAAACTCTCAGCGTTCTTCCTGTCTCCTCTCATCTTCCTGAGTCCTGGGACTGTAGGCATGCACCACCATGCCTGGCCACTTATCTTTATTTTCTTTTTGTGAGCAGTACAGTAAACTCAAATAAACAATAACTGTTCTACTTGGATGTATTGGTTTGCTAGTGTTGCCCTAACAAAGTATCACAAACTGGGTGGCTTACAACAACAAAACTTACTTTCTCACAGTTCTGAAGGCTAAAGGTCTAAAATTAGGGGTCAGCAGAGCTGAGTTCCTTCTGTGACTTGGTAGAATTCTTCTGGCTTCTGGAGGTGAACATCAGTTGTTGGTAGCTCTATCCTTTCATCTGCCCTGTGTTACCATGTGCAGGCTCACTGTGTGTCTCTGTTGTCTTCTTACAAGGATGCCAGTCATACTGGGCTATGGTCTAATGATCTCATCTTAACTTTCTACATCTACAAATAGCCTAGTTAAAATTGTCCCTCTTTTGTTCTAGGAACTAACACACTCCCAGGTAAAACAGGAGGCTGTATTACTGCATGAAAAACTTTATGAATTGGAAGCCCACCGAGATCAAATGATTGCCGAGGACCAAAGCGTGGGATCTCCAATGGAAGAGCGGGAGAGATTACTAAAACAGGTAGGAAAAATAAACTAGCTTATTGTAATATGTCAAATTTTGTTAAATGTGTTGGTTTGTTTTGTTTAAGGGGTACCCATGAATTTATTATGTAACACTATCAAAAAGTTAGTTTTACCTAAATATGAAATCTTTACTTGATCAAGAAACTCTAGAAAACATTCACTTTCTCATATGGATTTTTTTTGGGGTAAATCTTCATTTTATATGATCTTCATGCATATTTAGCTATGATTTCATACTTTAGTTCCTTAATAGAAAAACTTGAAACTTTCTGCGATTAAATAGATAACCTTATTGAAGACAGGATCAATGATTTGTTTTGGATCTTGTATTAGAATGTAAAGAATTGTAAGTCTTTGCTTTTGCAGTACCCAGGATTCTTTTCTCTGAGCCACATTACTAGTCCTTTTGAAATTCTTATTTTGAGAGAAGGTCTCATAGGTTGCTAAACTGCTATTGTTCCAACCTACCTTAGCTGGTGAGGGTCTCAAAAATACTAAATGTTTACATCAACTAATGATCCAGATCTGAAGACGTGTTAACTTGATAATACCTTATGAATAGGTGTGGTATATCAATTACTGCCTTCCTATTGAGGAAGAAGAAAATGGATCTGTGGGTAGTTTCTTTTTCTTTTTTTTTTTTTTTTTTGTCTTTTTCCTTTTTATCGGTACCGGGGATCGAACTCATGACTGCCTGCTTGAAGGCAGGCGCTTATGCCGCTGAGCTAAATCCCCAGCCCCTGTGAGTAGTTTCTTAATTACATTCTCTTTAACTTCAAATGTGGAATTCTAAGAAAAAGATTTTAAGGATAGTTTTGACATTTTTTAGTACAACATATTTTAGAGGGAAATTTCCCCTAAAATAGTCTAGTGTGTGGTTTTTTGTTTGTTTTTTAATTCAGGGTTAACCCCAGGGTCTACACATTGAGCTAGATCCCCAGACTTTTGAAAATATTTTTATTTTTCAGATAGAGTCTCACTAAGTGACTAAGTTGTTGATGCTGGGCTTGAACTTGTGATCCTCCTGCCTCAACCTTCCAAAGTGCTGAAAATATAGGAATATACATGACTGGCTTAGTAATGAGCTATTTTTTAAATGCTCCTTTTTTTGTACTTTTATAGGTTAAAGAAGATAATCAGGAAATAGCCAGCATGGAGAGACAGTAAGTTCTTTTATACTAGGACATTTTACTTTCATTTTTCATCTTCTAAATTACATTCTAAGTTATGGTTCATGTTGATAATATTAATGCAGCTTTCAACTTACACTGTTAAATATTTTTTGAGTGCTTAAGAGGAATATGTCAGTATAACTGCTTTTTAAAAATTTTATAAATTCGTAATTCAGGTTTGAATATCTCTCTGGTAGGGGTTAGTTGCCTGGCATGCTCAGTGGTTTTGGTCCCTAGCATCATCACCACTACCAAAAAAAAATATTCATGTTATAATTCACTTTTTTGTTGGGACCTTGAATTGAATCCAGGACCTGCACACTGAAATACATCTGTATCTCTGTGTTAATTTTTTAAATTTTGAAACAAGGTCTGTCATAGTATCTGAATTGTTCAAGGTGGGCTCAGAAATGTGATCCTCTTGCCTCAGCCTCCTAGAGTGCTAGGATTACAGGAGTGCTGTTTTGCCACCATGGCTGGATCACATATTTAAAATCCACAATCGAGAGCTTCAGGGCTGAGGATTTAGCTCAGCGGCATAAGTACCTGCCTTGCAAGCAGGCGGTCATGAGTTCGATCCCCGGTACCAATATAAATGAAAAAGACAAAAAACAAAACAAAACAAACCAAAAAAACTTCTTAGTACAGAGTTGTATAATTAATTTTAAAAAGATACATGCATCTCAATAAAATCCCATAAATTATAACCACTTCCTGTCAGTACTTTCTCATCTCAGCTGGCCATTATGGTGCATGCCTATAATCCCAGCACTCTGGAGGCCGAGACAGGAGGATTGCTGCAAGTTTGAGGCCAGCCTGGACCTATGTAGTGTGTTCAAGGCCAGTTTATATAGTGAGACCCTCACAAAAACCACAAAAACAGAAAAAGAAAAAGAGAAAAATACTCTCCCATGTCTGTGACTAGCAGTCTGCTGTATGTCTGATGGTTTTATCTATCCTGGACATTTCATGTGAATAGAGTCATACCCCACAAGGTCTTGTGTGACTGCATACTTTCACTTAGCATAGTGTTTTCAAGGTTCTTCTATGCTGTAGCATCTATTAGTATTTCTCTTCTCTTTATTGCTAAATAATAGTCTACTATTTGCATATACCATTTTATTTATCTGTTCATCAGTTGATGGACATTTGTTTTGTTTCCACATTTTGAATCATGTTGCTATTATGAATTACGTTGATATGAACATCAATTGCTAGTTTTTGTGTGGACATACATTTTTACTCCTCTTGGGTTCATATCTAGGAATGAAATCGCTGAATCATGGGATAACTGTTTAACTTTATGAATTATAGTCCCATGAGGTGAAATGACTGCCGAAGACAAACTCCAGTGTACTTACTCCATTCTACGTCTCTGTCAGTGTGTATAGGTGTTTTAGTTTCTCCATATCCTCAATGTTATATATCTTTTTTGAAAATCTATTGTACCCATTTTAATTGGTGTGAAGTGATATCGTAGTGTGGTTTTGATTTGTTTTTGTCTGATAGCTAATGGTGTTGAGGTTCCTTTCTTGTGCTTATTGGCTAGGTATAAGTTTCTTGGGAAAAATTTAAGGCACTTTTTAAAGTGGGTTTATCAACATTATTGTTACTATTTCATTTAAAGTGTTCTTTGTGTGTTCTAAATACAAGTCCCTATTGGATTTATGATTTGCAAAAAAATTTTTTCTCATTCTGTGGGTTGTATTTTTCACTCTTGGTGATGTACTTAGAAGCACAAAGTCTTCAATTTGGCTAAAGTCCAACTGTATTTTTTCCTTATACTTTTGATGTCAAACCAGTGTTCAGTTCAAGGTCATGAAGATTTTCTAAGAGTATCATAGTATAGCTCTTACACTTAAATCTTTGATCTCTTTTGGGTTAATATATTATATGAGGTAGGAGTTCAGTTTCCTTCTTTTGTTCATACTTAGTTGTCCCAATACCATTTGTTAAAAATTCTTTCCCTATTTGTCTTGGCATAGTTGTTCAAAATCAGTTATGGTCTTATTTTTGAATTCAAAATTCTAGTCCCTTGATATGTCTATCCATATTTCAGTATGACATTGTCATGATTTCTATAGCTTTGTAGTAAATATAGTGTTTTTAAAAATTTTTAACATGTATAATCTACCAGTGGTAGATTTTCCCTCATTTTCTAAGTTAACTTAAATTTATTTTGTACAAATGCAACAAAAGAAAAGCTGCTGAAGATTTGTCGTTTTCTTGGAATGGTAGTCAAACTTAAAAGGTCGGGAAAGGGTCTGCTCTCAAAGTCAGGCAACCAGATGTCTTTAGAATATATTTGTGCTTTCAACAGAAACTGTGAAAAGAGGTTTAGAAAATATTTTTTTCTCTAAATTTGTAACAGTGTCCTCAGAATAGGGCATATTATTTATGCAACTTAGAAAAGATGTTAACATCATCATTAAATTTTTTATTGAATGTCTATTCTTATAAATTCATTAAAATTCCAACAGGTTAACAGATATAAAAGAAAAAATAAATCAGTTTAATGAAGAAATAAGACAACTTGACATGGATTTAGAGGATCATCAAGGTAATATTTTTGGTGTATTTCTGCATTTTTATAGTATAGATTAATAAACTTAGAGCAGCACTGATACAGTATTAATTGTATCTCTGGATTAATTAATTCTGTATGATATTCTTAACTTTACTAAAATATATGCTCAATATTGCAAGTAATGTAAACATAATTCTTTGAATTGATCATTACTTGAAATAACTTAATGGTTGTCAATAAAAATTCATTTAGTTTTGTGAATCAGTTTTTTTTTTCTCTTTCCCACAGTATTAGAGATTGAACCCAGGATGTATGGCACAGGCCCTCAGCACAGCTGTATCCCAGCCTAATGAGGGATGTGTGTGTGTGTGTGTGTGCGCGTGCACATGTGTGCATTTGCACTGAACCTGGGTCTTTGCACATGCAAAGCAAGTGCTGTACTACTGAGCCACATCATCAGTCTGAAAAGCAGTTTTTTAAAAATGGCCTGTTTATAGATTCCTAAATTAGACTTCCACAGTATGATCAACTATTAACTAAATTGTTTAGTAGAGTTGGGACAGGTAAGAATCAAGTCACAAATACTATATCAGAGATAATCCAGGAAGGATTCATTTTCCAGCCAGGCCCAGTTATGAGGTGGTAGGCACTTATTAGGATAATTCTCTACCTGTCCTTGGCAATGGCATTTGAAAAACCAGTGCAAGGACTAACCGCCTGGGGGAGCATGGAACCCGGACAAGTGGAATGCTGTGGCAGGAGCTGGGAACTGCATGTTATATGTGCGTGAGGTATGGGCTTGGGCTTTACAGTTTCCTGGGCATCTTCTCCCTAATAGAGGACAGGAATGTGGGTTCCCTGCGGTACATTAATCACGACTTAACTGCAGTCAGTTAATATGCTCCCAGATTATCAAACAGTGATTTATGAGTTAGTGGGGAAAGTCAGGATAATCTTGCATCTTCATGGTAGAACTAGTACATCTGTGCTGTGGTTCAGGAAACATTTAGAGCAGGGAAAAAGTAAATTAAAAGTAAATATGTAAATTTTTGCTTCAATTTTAAAGGTGGTATATTAATTTTTTTCTACTTTATCTTAATTTTTGAACATCATTAGTTACTACTAATTGATTATTTTGCAGTGTTTGCAGGAACCCTTTGAAGGCTTGGTAAGCAATTTTATACATGTTGAAGCTCAAAAACATGTGGTTTAAACAAATTCCCCCAGCTATTAAGAAGTGAAGTCTAGATTTAAACCAAGATCTTTTTGACTCCAAAGTCTTAGTTTCGTTGCCGAAGTTTAAACTTGACTTTCTGATATGAAGTACTATATTCATGAAATAAAAATGTTATTAGAAATACCTAGTTGAAATTTATACATGGCTCCTAAAGGCTTTAAATAAAGCATCTAAAGGGAGACACATATTAAGTAAATCCTAGTTATTAGGTAAGTAAACTTGGTTAAGCTTTAGTTTTCTCATCTGCAAAATGAAATATAATGGTTCTATCCCACTAAGGTTTGTGTATATTAATTGGTTTATGTGTTATGATAGAGTCAAGACTGAGGTCATGTTAGTTTTAAAAAATTACTCATTTTCTTTTCATTGACAAAACTTGTATATATGTATACTTTGTGGAGTGGTTAAACCAAACTAACATGTGCATTACTTTATATTTCATCATTTTTTTGTGGAACACAGTGAAAACCCACTGTCAGTGATCTCAAGAAAATATATCATTAATTTATAGTCACTGTGTTGTACAATAGATCTCTTGACTTTATTCCTCCTGCTTTATCCAAAATTTTTATTCTTGGACTGTTATTTCTTTACTAACAAAGGTCTTAGTATTTTGCTCTTTATTAATCAAACTTAGGACAAATCTGATAATATTCTTGATTTTAGATGCTTTATCTGATACATTTCAAATAATTTTCCTGTTCCTAAGTCTAAATTTCTAATGTTCATTTATTTCCATTAAAATAATGATTGGAGGTAACAATTTATTACTAATGGTTAGCTAATTATTATTAATTCCAGGATAAATGCTGAATGGATTGTGTCTTAGCTATTCTTTTCCTTTTGTTTTTCTAAATTTGTCTTTTTTATTAATGTAGAAAAAGACAATCTATAATGCCGTCCAATAGTGGCAAAAGTCATTGGTATGTAAGTGTAAATATGTGTGATTATAGACACTGTATATTTGTGACTACATCAGTGAATTCAGTGTTTTGTTATGCTACTCTGTGATCATTCTAGATTATTGGTTTTACAGCCGAAGGGGTTTTTACCAGAAGGTTACTTGTTAGAAGGTTACTTGTTAGTTCAGGACCTCATTCTTTCCTGCCTGAACTATTGTAGTAGCCTCCTAACTGGTCACCCCACCTCCAGTCTTGCCCCCTCTCAGATTATTCCTCCAGAATGCTGCCGGCGTGATTTATGTAAAACGTGATTCTGGGTCATTCGGCTTACTGGTGGTTCACCATAATGCATGAGATAAAGTTCAAGAGTTTTTGCATATTTTACTAGTCCCTCTGTAGTGTGACCTGTACATTGTTAGCTTCCCACCCCTTATAATCATTATGCTTATGTTCTAATAATAACAACTTGCTGTGGTATCTCAAACTGCACCCCTTATCACAATATATCACACTTTCATGCTCAACACTTTGCTTCTGTTTGTTGTTTCTTCTTCCCCCTGTCTTCCTCCTACCTTTTCTCTCTTTCTCTCCCTCTCTTCCATGCTTCTTCCCTTTCCTCCCCTTCTTTCTCTCCTACCTCTTCTTCTCCTTGTCTTGAATGTTCTTTTTGCCAGTTTGTATTGACGACTCCTTAAGAGCTAACTTAGGCGTCCTCTCCCCCAGCAAACTCTTCATTGCCTGCCTGACTCACTCTGGGCTTGCCTAAGTGAATGACTTTCCCTGCTACAGAGCACTGCACTGGTTATGCTGTATACAGTTTCACCTTTGTCTTCCCCCTTAGACTTCACTTTTTCAAGGGCAGAGACTTTCTTACTTTAGTGATCTTTTTCATCAACATAATGTCTGGGAAAGTAAATACTAAATAAATGTTTGTGGAATGAACTGGACAATCCATAGTTTGGCAGAGAAGGAATAATTGTACAATGTATTAGGGGAGAAAACTAAACTCTTCTGTTGCTGTGAGTTCCTTTGTTCTAGGATGCAGTTGTATGCTCTTCAGAGTCAGCTTGACTACAAGTATTTTATTTCTTTCCAGAGAATTCCTACCTTGGATTCATGTTTCCTAATAAAGTGGTAGATGCTTGTCTATATCTACATTCCCAACAATCCCTTGACTCAAGATTGTGGGTAATTAATTCCTTAGGATATATGTGACAAGTTATTTTGTTGTCTTATCTACCCTTAGCTGTGTCCCCTGGCTTTATTTCCCTCTTAGAACTATTTTATTTATTTCTTAGATGTTTCCTGGTTTCTGACATTAAGGGCACCTATGTATAATCTAGCTGGGCTACCTTTGCCTTTAGGGTCCTGGGTAAGAGTGCTTAAGCCATAAATGGTGCTTATACAGGTGTGACTTTTAGGAGTTGCTTCTCCCTTTCAGTTTTTAAATAAGCTTTGAACAAATTTACATAATTAATTTGAAATTTAAAGGCATCTTTACATACTGGGTTAGGTATAGTTGCATTCTCAGTTATTAATGGTGACAGTTATTACTGTAATTCAGTAACTTCATTTAATATACTTATTCATTTTGATAAGTCCTTAAAATTATAATTCTCCAAAGGTTTTATATTGAATAATTATGCTTCAAAATTAACCAAATAAAATTAGCAGCTATTTGGCTACTTTGTGGAATTTCCTTTTTTTTCTACATGCCGAGTTACCAGTTTCTGTGATAATCTGAAATAAGTAGAGAAAAATCTCTATAATACACAAACTTTTGATCAATTTTATTTTATTTTATTTTTTTTGTCTTTTTCCTTTTTATCGGTACCAGGGATCGAACTCACGACTGCCTGCTTGCAAGGAAGGCGCTTGTGCCGCTGAACTAAATCCCCAGCTCCACTTTTGATCAATTTTGACACACATTTTTGCTGTAAATCTGTGCCTAGACTTTTAAAATGAGTTTTTAGAAAAAAAAATCATAATCATAATAGCATTTTCTATACAGTAAGATGTTAACATCTTTAAGTTGTTGAGGAATTTGATTATGTCATGTCATATATTTGCTAGATTTCACCTTAATATTTGAGTAATATTTCTTGTTCCATTTGTCTCAAATCAGACCATTACTTTACTGTCTTATAGTAACTAAATTTTAAAAAGAACAGTGTTATTGTTACACATCCAAAACTTTTATGAAACAGGAGCACAAAATTCATTTTTTTAAAAATTTTATTTAAGGAGAAAAGAAAAAAAAGCAGAGAAAGGGTACAAGTTATACAGATTTGCAGAAAAAAAAATGAACAGTAGGAAATCACTAGTTAATGGATTACATATTGTCATCTTAGAAATAATTGTTCAAGTCACAAAATTAAAGCTTGTAAAGTGGACATTCCATCAATGATACTGCAAACAGTTCTGTTCAATGATCCAATAAAACTCTGTGATATCATTTTCTATCTTATACACTTAAATATACATGCAGTTATATAGTATAGAGCACTTTCTTTTCCTCTCTTTTGTACAATGACTATTACACATTTTGGGTTTCATTGCTCCCATGGTTCTTATTACTTTTTTGGAAGAGAGTAAAACCAAATGTGATATAACAGAACAGAATCGGTCAAGTCAAAAGGGTGGACATAATAGATAATGTAAAAACATAATACAAGGTGATCAACAATGGTTACCATAATGCCTCCCGCTATCTCTAATAGAATTGCCTATATCGTTAGTTACAATACAATTGAACAAAACAGTAAAGAATAAAACTGACAAAACCAAAACATTGGAGACATTGTAGGTCTTCAAAAATAGATAAAAATCAACGAGAATGGGCGTTATAATGAATCTCATTATCTTCACAGCTGATGCCTAAATTTTCGAACCTG